CCATGCTCGAATTCATCACTAGACCCCCTTCATCCAACTGGTCCATGCTAATTGCCTGATGATGATGATGATGGTGGTGGCGATTGTAGTGATGATGCTAATGATGATGATGATGATGTGTGTGTGTGTTGTTGTTGCAACGCCAGCCAATAGGAAATCACCTTCTCTTGGTTCCGCCTCTCAAACATTATCTCACCAAACGTCATCTCCCTCATCAACAATCATCACCATCATCATCCTCAACAATCATCATCATCACCGCCATCACCACCACCATCATCATAACCTTCGCCACCATCTGCTTCATGAAATACTCCTCCATCGTAATGTAACCGCCGATGAACTCTTGAATGAAGGTGCTTAGTTCACACCCGTTCAACAGCTGATCAACTTCCGCTTTTTTATCTAGGTCAACGATAATTGGGTCAGTTAGTATTCATTTATGTAACTGGGTTAAAAAGTAGAAGAGAGAGCGAAAGAGAAAGAGAGAGAGAGGAAGAGAAAGAGTTATTACGAAATAACGTAGTTAAAAAATGTAGAAAAAGCTCACAGTTAAAGCCCATTAAAATGAACATGTGAACATGTGAGCAAAAAAATAAACGGATGAATGAATGAATGAATGAATGAATAGTATGAATGAATGAATGAACAAATGAACGAACGAAGGAGTGAATAAACGAAAAGCTCGCATTAACTTTTCAGCACTTCCTCATCTTGAAATGCAACTTCCAAGTCATTCTGAATGAGAGAAAAAAATTATAGCCACCATCATCATCATCGCCATCAACCGGCAAAAACATCATCATCATCATAATAATAATAATTATTATTATCATAACTCCCAATAATAATAATAATTATTATTATTATCACAACTCACGAAGCATCTTCTCCTTAGGAACCTCATGTACAATTCGGTCCTAGTGCTAAAGATAGCAACCTCGGCCAATAGAACATCAGCCTCTCTTGGCTCCACCCTTCATTAATATTCATAAGAACTTCATTGATATTCATGATGATGATGGTGGTGTTGATGATGATGATGATAGTGATGATTATCATGACATTATAATGAAATAAACATAGGAAGAAAAACCTTTCGTTGACTTGCTTCTGGAAGGCATTCTGCTGCTGTTGGATCAGCTGGATCTAACAAACAACAATAACAATAATAGCAATAATAATAGCAATTATAATAATAATAATTAAACCTTTTTATCAAAGTTCCTAGTGTCTTTGAACTGGCAGACGATACGTCGGACCTGTCGGTCGCATTCATTCTGCAGGTGCCTGACCAACGTCAGCAACAATCCGTGCCCTGTCATTGGTCGGTCGGTCGATTGATTGGTTGAATTAATGAATGAATAAATGAATGAAAGGATTATTAAATGAATGAAAGAATCTTTCACCGAATGAATGAAAGAACAAACGGATGAATGTATGAACGAATAAATATTCATTTGAATGGTTGAATAAAATAAGGGTCTACGGAAAATTCACCGAGGAAAAATTCATCGAGGAAAAATTCATCGTGGGGTAAATTCTTCGTGAGACCAATTTGAAGTTACAGTTTTTTTTACCCCATAAATGTTGTACATTATAAATGCATAATATATATACATTATATATATATATAAATATAATAAATAAGTTAATTAAGGTGGTGATTCGTTGGTAAAACGAAATCTTGATAGCTACGTAGTTGACAATTGAGGCAGGCGTCTCGAGCGGTCCGGCCAATATTAGTGCCGACCGTTTTCTGTAGACCTTCTCGTAGAGGGTTCGATCGCGAGCCGAGCCGAGCAAGTGCAATTAGCTTGAAAGTCACTCGAATCCAAGTTGAAATTTGTCAAAATTAATTGAAACGAGTCAAAATGTGAATTATTTTTGAACATTTATTAATAGACTGTTGATTGGACGACAGCATTGACGAAGATCTGGAATCGAACACAACACCAACAACTGTACCAATTAATCGATAAATTAATTAATTAATTAAGCCGAATAACGAATCAATTTCGGCAATTAATTGACGAATTAGGCCGTTTAACGATTAAACGATAGTTAGTAATTAGTATTACATTACACGATAGGGATTGAACCTACCGCAGCTGGTCACCCACAACTATCAATGATAATCTAAGTAAACAAATTCGGGTTCGAGTTCGATTATTAATTAATTAAACAGCCTCACAAATTTTTCCGTTCCGGGCCTCAATACACATACACACACATACACACACACGTACACACCATAATAAGTTTCGACGAGTGGCTGATGGATCTCGACAGCCCTGGCGACGTCTTCAAACAAGATGGTGGCAGCGTCGCTGAAGATGACGTTGTAGCGTTTGTCTGACGGCGCAGTTTGCAGCGCCTGCGTTACTTTCTTTTCCGTGACGTCACTGAGCTGTTTGATTGGTGGAATGGACGTTGTTTGATTTGGCGACGTCTGATTGGTCAGTTGAGTGTGGATCATCTTTTCATTGATTGGTCAGTAGAGTTTGGGTCATAATTCGATTGAATGGTCAGTCGAGTGTGAGCCATATTTCGATTGATTGGTTAGCATTTTGCATGTATGAGTTACGATACAAGAGAGAACAAAGAACGAAAAATGAGCAGACAAACAAGCAGACCTGAGAACAAAGATACTTTGAGAACTTAACTAGGCCTGCCTCATTCTCACCAATCAACGGAAATGTCTTGAAAAATCTTTGTAGGAAAAACAATAATAACAATAGATAATAATAACAATAATAACAATAAATAATAACAATAATAAAAATAGATAATAGCAATAGTAACAAAAGATAATAACAATAATAACAATAGATGGTAATAATAATAATAAATAATAACAATAATAATAATAAATAATATTAATAATGAAACCTTTCAACGCTAGCGACGTCTCCACTGCGAACGGCCGAATCGAACTTGCCATGCACGATGCTCTTGAGTTTCGTCTGTGCCTCGTGTAGCAATTTGAAGGATGTGTCTAGTGTACTACCTGAGAATGTGCGTGTGTACGCGCGTGTGTACGTGTGTGTGCGTGTGTGTGCGTACGTGTGTGTGTGTGTGCGTACGTGTGTGTGTGCGTGAATGTATGAAGGTGTATTCAAGTGTTTGTAACGCATGATAGTGGATATGTTTCGTATGCATCAGTGTGAATGTGTGTGCTATTATTGCTTATTAATTAATTAATATTATTATTATTATAATTACAACAGTTAATATTTATAAAATTATTATTCTCGTTGGAAATTAATGAGGTAATAATAAGACGACACCTTCATTGGCGTCTGCACTCATCCTCAATATATCCTCGTCCAGTGTTAAAAATCTATGTATATGTGCTGCTGCCTATGATTTAGTGAATGAATGAACGAATGAATGATTGAATGAATGAATGAATAAATGAATGAATGGTTGAATGAATGAATGGTTGAATGAATTCAGCAGCAGCAGCTGTACCTTCTCATAGTCTTCATCATGCAGTGCAGTTTGAACGCCATCAGTGCAGAACTTCAAGTCCAAGATGTCCTCCACCCTCTGCAAACACAGCATAACTCGATTCTGGCGAGTGTGAAGTGTATTATTTCACTAATAAATAATAGTGTAACGGTTAAAATGCCTTGCACGGCTGCAGCAGTTACCGGCTTTGAATGTCCCTCAATGGACAAAGGAGTATCATTGATTGATTGATTGATTGTTAATGTATAAACACACACACACACACACACACACACACACACACATACACAAACAAACAAAAACGCATATACAATCACAGCACATCCCTACTTTCGCCAAATCCAGCTGCCTAACTTTGCTACTGACATTCTCAGCCAGCGATGACGTGAATGTTATCATGTCTGAGAGTTGTTTGGAGTCATTCTCAACGGCCTGTAAGCCAGGTCTGCATCAAAATTAAAAACAATTAGAGTAATTTCTTGTTATAATAAAATTATGATTGATTATAATTAATAATTATAATTAATTATATTTGATCAGTACTGTTACTGAAAAGGGAAGAAAGAAGAAGAGAGAGAGAGAGAGAGAGAAAAAAAAAGAAAAGGAAAAATAAAAGAATGAAATAGATATAAGGTTAAAGGTAAAGCAGAAGAACAATTGATTACTGACAATATTGGGTGCAGAGATTGCATCTTGGCTTCAAGTTCATTCCGAGATTTCAATAATTCATCCAGTTCAGCATCCACACGTTGCTAGGATAGTAGAAAAGTTAATCAAATAAATTAAAAATGATAACTAAGTAATATTATAATAAGGGATGCACCGGATTCAGGTTTTTCAAATCCGGCCGGGGCCGGACTTGGCCGGGGCCGGACTTGGCCGGATTTGAAATTCAAAAACCGGCCGGGGCCGGAGCCGGGGCCGGATTTTAGTTACCATTTTACATACGTTAGAAAAAATACTCACATTTACGGTTATCTACATGTTGAACATCAAAAAATAACACCAAGCAAATAGTTATTTAATTCAAATATATGAATAAGTTGTGTGATACGCCAAATTCTGTACACAAAGATCAGCTTATAATTTATGCATATTTGCATAACCCAAGTTAAAGCACAAAGAAAATTGTCCAGCTCACCGCACAATTAGTGATGTTGTAATTATGTGTAATGTATACCTAGCCTAACCTTTAACATACCATGTTCTTAAATTATGTGCTTATGTATCTCTCTCTCTCTCTCTCTCTAAATATATATATATACCTTTATATATATATATATATATATATATATATATATATATATATATATATATAATGTAACTATATAATCCGTCATGTGCAATTATCAATATATAGTATATACACGTGCACAAGTTCTTTTACACAAAGATCAGCTTATAATTTATGCATAACCCATGTTATAGCATAAAGAAAATTGTCCAGCTCACTTCACAATTAGTGATGTTGTTATTATGTGTCATGTATGCCTTTAGCTTAGCCTTAGCCTTTAACTTATTGACATAAAATTAATTGAATTCAATAAAATTTTTTTTTCTATTTATAACATTTTTAAAAGTTGATAGACGCTTAAATCCGGCCCTAAATCCGGCCACCAAATCCGGCCCTAAATCCGGCCACCAAATCCGGCCGGGGCCGGATTTGAAAAAAAAGCCGGATTTTGGCCGGGGCCGGAGCTGAACTTCGGTGCATCCCTAATTATAATATAATATATTATAATATAATATATTACATTATAATATATTATATCATAATCTATTATATTATCTAATATCTCATTGACACATGATATGATGTCATGTATGTATATTAATGTACATTATATCTTAGATATATAGCATAGTCTGAGCATTTATTGATAATATTAAAATTAAAGCATATAAAAAAAAACAATATGTATTTCTACATACATACATACATATATACATTAAAAATGCATATAAAAATACAAACATAGTCCTGCATACAGTGTGAGTACTGTACATACACTCAGATACAAAACACATACAACAATACCACATACCATAATTCCAAATTCCCAATCATATGTCATACTTTAACTAAAAACTTAACAAAACAAGTTAATTACTAATGTCTCTTATTTAAAAAGGTAAGTAGATACACAAGTTTTTTAATCTCTGCTCCCTTTTTTTAGAATTAACAAGTTTTTAAAAAAATATAAATGGTAAATTTAAAATTTAAATTTTAAATATAATACAGAAAAGTTTAAAAACAAAAAGTTCAAGTGACTTGTGAGTTTTCCAGCTTATTTTATTATTTAATTAATTTAATAATTTAATTTAATTAATTTTAATTTATTATTTTATTTAAATTTAAAATGCCTTGGTGCTTTTTACATTTTATTTTTAAAAACAAAATTAATTTCAATTTAAAATGAAGAATTGGTTGATTGATCAGTTTTTCATTGATAACAAAATTAAATAATTTAGAATTAACAGAACTAACTTTATTAATTTAAAATTTTAAATTTAAAAATGAAATAAAAATATAAAATCATTTAATTTAATTTTAATTGAAATAAAATAAATAAAATGCACTTCTTCAATGGTGAGATCCTCATACGCCTTCACCATGTCTTCATATTTAGTTAGTTGGTCTACATTTTCGTTTAAAATTTTTACTGAAGAGTGATTAGTGCTCATTTTTTGGAGTTTTGCGAACTTTCCGTAATCGCCGATAGCGATTTTAACGATAGAAAGTTTATTTACAACTAAAAGTGGAAGGCAGTTGTAAACAGGTAAAAGAAGACCGACACTATAATAGATTAAATTACTGACGCTTTTTTTTAAAAATGAAAGTAAATTAAAAAATTTTTTTTAAAACTAAATTATAAAAATTTACATTGTAAATAATTTATTTTAATTATAATACTTACAAATGGTTGAAAATAATTTTAAACTATCTTTTTGGTGATTATAAATATTTGCGCGTTAATACGATTGGTCGTTGGCTAGCCAATAAAATTCATTACAATTTTCTCTTATAAAATGGCGAACGCAAGTTTTATCGTTCACAAATTATTTTGATATTTTCTGGCAATGGTTAAAAATTGAGCATTTAAACGAACGAAATTCATTTATCGGACACTACTAATTATACGGATGATTTGTATAGAAATAATTTGACGTTCAAAATTGTGTAGTAGTGAATTTACATACTAACTTCAATTTTATTTTATGCCTGGATTCCCTAATTACCAATTTTTAGATTAATAACAAAAATTACAGTGAGTTAGTCTCAGTGGTAACAGTCACGTTATATTTTTTTAGTATCGAAACCTGAAATTGAAGCGGCCGAATATTTTTTTTAGGTAGGAAAATTCTTGTTAAGTTTTCAATTTCTTTAATAATCTTCCTGATTCTACATTTCATACTTTTTTTTAATTAAGTAAAAGTAAAAAGACTAAAAAGCTTTTAGTTTTCTGCTGCATGTGCTCTTTTCTTTTCTCATATATCTCCATGTCTTGTTCTTTTGCACCGGCTATCTAAAATTTGCTCATTCATGTATGAGTCTCAGTCTAAATTATTTCTTAAGTACTTATCAGCTATACTATATGTATGTATTTATAGCATTATTAATACGATAATTATTTGCATTTAATTTAAGATTTTGTTTTTTGCTTATTAGACTAGCAAAACGTAGCGTGTAATGATGAATAGTGGCGTGCCCCCCGGCTTGGTTGTCACGAAAAATGAACAGGGCCAGCTTGTTGTTGTGCAACAGTTCCAGCTACAGCAGCCACAGAGTCGACCAGCTCAGGTTGTCAGGGTCAGTAGGATATGAAAATTTCATTTTGCTACTACTTTTTTGGCAATAAATCTTTTACAATTAAGATGTAATTAAGTTATGTCAATTTTATTTTTTTAATTTATTCATATATTTAATTTTTGTCTTGACAACAGCCAATCATTCAAGCATCTATCATAGCCACAGCAACGACGACATCTTCAGCATCTGCAGCAGCAGGAACAAGATCGCTCTTCATACAACCCCAGCACATCCTTCCGCATACTCAACAACAGCAGCAGCTAACAGCAACAACAACATTAACTCAACGAGTTCCATTGTTACCCGTTCAACCGACTACAACAACGATGATTGTTGCTCAACAACAGCAACAGCAGCCACAACTTCAATTAGCACCCAATGTTATTGTCAATCAGCAGCAGCAACTGTCGTTGACCAATCAAATTCAACCTAATGGTGATGGTTTGTTATTATTGGTTACCTTTTTAGTTTCAGCATTTTTATTTCGATTCACTTTCTTTTAAATTTTAATTTCGAATTACCAAATTTTTATTTATATATATTTTTTCATTTGGATATATTTTTTCAGTTGTAAATGATGATGATTCATTGGTTGGTTTGTCAAATGAATGAATCTGTGAATGATTCTACATTCTATCCATTATTTTTTGTTTCATATACATATTTTTTTAAATTTGCCAAACGAAGATTGATTTTTAAAAATAAAAGCTTTATTTTCTATTGCCAAATTTTAAAGAAATCTGTCCAATCCCCCCAAAACAGCTCTCACATCAATCAACAAGGAGGTAGTGGAAAATGTGCGAAAGTGCAAAAACTTTTTGTCCACCTTGTTAAAGCTGGCAGCGAATCAACCGAAGGAGACACTTGACAATGTGTTGAGCCTCATCCAGGGACTTGTGGTAAGTTGCCGATCTAGCTTATCTAATTTTAATGGACATTATTACATTGTATTATTTGATATATCATTGTATGGTCTTTGTTTTTTTTATATATTGTTAATGCGTTCTATTTATCTACTGTTATCTGACCTAATTTGATAAAATTTAAAATGCAGGACAATGCAGTGACTCCAGAGGAGTTCACTACTCAACTTCAGAAGGAGCTGAAATCCTCCCCTCAGCCTTATCTAATTCCATTTTTAAAAGTTAGTTTGGGTTGTTCTTTTTTGGTGCATATTTTTTTTGTTTGTTTTAAATTTTATTTTGTTTATGAAAACATGAAAAGGAATTCAGTAAAGATAAAAAATCTTAAATAATGTGAACTCTTCAACATCCAATCAAAAACATGTTTGTATCTCGTATGATTTTTTTTCAACTATTGATTGCTATATGTTAGTTCTTACTTATTATTCATTAATTTTACATTGAATTATGTTAATTTTGTATACAGAAAAGTCTACCTTACCTCAGACAGTTTTTAAGCAATAACAAGATGCAAATAGACGGCATCAGACCGCCCATAAGTAATACAAGCACCGACGACACCAATAGCAACAACACCAACAACATCATCATACAGAACAACACAAATAGCATCGTTAACACCACTAACAACAACAACAATTCTGTAGTTTTCCTGACTGCCACACAACAACAGCAACAACTACATCAACAGCAACAAACAATAGTTGCTGCTACAACAACTCAGGTTTGTTGGGGATATCGTTATTTATGTTGATTATTTTAACCCTTGCAAGTTGCCGTTTTGTCATTATTATTTATTTATATTTCAACACGACAGGCAAGCATGTTAGCTGTAGACGGCAGTAACAGTAGAACTACAATTCGTCCAGTAACAGGCATCCCACAGCAACAACAAAAACTGCAAAACATTCAACAACAGCAACAAATTCGATTGATGCAGGCTCTTCCTATATCCAACAACAACAACACCAACAACACTAACAACAACATCAGTGCTACACCAGAAACTACAAGGTTGTTACAAACACGCTTCTCAAATCCTTCGTCCAATACACATCAGTTACTCAACAACTTAACGACTGGGCAACAAAAACTACAGGCTCAACAGTTAGCAGCCCTACACACAAACACAAATTTTATAGCTCCGACGACACCGTTACCATCTTCACTTCCACGACTAATTCTCTCATCAAATTCCACTCTCCTTGCATCATTCCCTCAAGTGCAGCCTGTCTCTACGACGCCGACCACCACAGTTGCTGCCATCATAGCCACAACAACGGCAGCAGCAGTAGCAGCAGCAACGACAACAACGACATTAGCAGCCCCAAAAGTCATCAACAATATCAACAACAACATGACAGCAACACTGCTACGGAATAACAATAACATTCTGCCCACGTCTCTCGCGGCACAGCAACAACTGCAGCAGCAACTGCACCATCATAGGCAACAACAAATACAACAACATTTGCAAGCCTCGAGACCTGAAAAACGAAAGTTTGAAACAATTAGGTAAATGTCAACAATGCGTGCTGAATGAGCTTTGATTCTATATCATATGTACATTTGTGTGACTGTTAAATATCATTCTTATTATATTATTACAGTTTTTATTTCTATTATTAACTCCACATTAACAGTCGAACAGAAGATGATGATATAAATGATGTGGCCACGATGGGAGGAGTCAACTTGAATGAGGAAACTCGAAACATCCTATCAGTTACGAGTATTTTGTCAACTGGCCAATTACGATCTTGCACAGAAGAGTCATTTCTAGACCAACACCTGCTGAGTAAATTTGTCTCCACTATAGGTTTGCTCAATTATTTCTCTTGTTTTATTTCAAATAAATGGCTAGATCTTATATAGTCTATATAAATAACATTATATAAATTTCGTCATGACATGACTGAAGTAAATAAATAACATTAAAAACATGACAACAAATAGCCCAGAGGAAAGGTTTATCGACAGTTCAGCCGGATTCCATAAATATGTTGTCGATGGCTGTGAAAGAAAAATTAAAAACTATCCTTGAACAGTTATCTGTCCTCTCAGAACACAGAACAGAAATATACAAGGTAGTATTTTAATTAATTTAATATCATTCTTTTTATCGTTTTTTCTCCCATTCTTAATAGTTTTTAAAACCATGTACTCATGACAACAATTTAACATCTGAATACAACTCAACCATAGTATTCACACATACATACACACACACGCACGCACGCAAACACACAAGCATACTTGAGTAAACTCAGCAACATGACCATCCTCAAACATACATGCGTATCCACTTAACTAACACACACATGCACGCACACACACACGCACGCATACACACAAGCATACTTGAGTAAACTCAACAACATGACCATCCTCAAACATACAACTTCCACATAACTAACACGCACACACATATGCATAAAACAACATCAACTGAACACTCCCACACACAGAATGAAAAACTGCTGACTCTGAAATCTGAAGTGAAAAGGCAGATGAAATTCAGGCAGGAGATTGCCAGGTTGGAAGGGGAGAGAGTGAGAGAAATAGAGAGTCAGGCCATTATGAAAGCCGCCAAGGTTATAAAATAGTTACAATAGTTAGTGTTAGTAGAGATGGTGGTGCCATCAGCAGTTGCAGTAACAGCAGCATCATCATAGTTTCATTACAAGTGAATTAACTTTTTTTTTGTCTTTTGAAAACCAACAACAGTCTAGAACAAAAACCGACGACCCTGATCAACTGAAAAAAAAGGAACTTGCTAAAAAGGTTAACATCAACTGTTTATCAATCCTGGATATATTCCTCTCTCTTTCTCTCTCTTTCTTTCTCTCTCTTTCTCTCTCTTGTCATTATTATAATTTTTGCGGATACATTACTTTTTTCACTCACAGCAACAAATGCAAGAGATGGAGGACAAAAGGAAGGAGCAATCCAACATCACAGCCCTGGCCGCCATTGGACCCCGGAAGCAACGAAGTTTTACCATTTTGCCGGACTCTTTGTTGGCCTCCTCTGCTTCCTCTTCGTCCAATCATCACATTCTGACCAATAACAGTGTCGGCTCTACTGGTGGTCTGCTGAACGTTTCTGGAGTTCTTAACAATGGGAATGTATTAGGTGGAAGTTTCAGCTTGCCTGGACAGGTCGGCTGGTGTTTCGTTGTTGATGTAGTTTTTGTGGTTGATGTGTACAATTTTGCTTGTTTGTCATGTTTTTGTTGATGTATGATTGAAAAAGCATCTTTCGTTATCTTTCATTTTCAAATTTCTATAAGTAAATATAACTTTAAGAAACTTATAACGATATCAAACTATTTAGTTATTTTTTTATCATATATTCATTCGTTCACTTATTCATTCGTTCTTTCACTGCCATTCATTCGTTCGTTCATTCATTCATTCATTCATTGTTTTTCCCACAGACATTGCCTTTAAGAAATCGAGTGAAGAGAGCAACGTCAAAAGACTTACTGTACATAATGCAGCAAGACAAAAGGTTGAGTCGATCTGCTCTGCTCTACAAGGCATTCATAAAATTCTGAATGGTCCATTAGTCAACTTCTTGAAATTTGATTGTCTCCATTTATTGATTCTTCAAAAGTTGATTGGTCCATTGATTGATTGGTTGATTGATATATTGGTTGATTGATCTTTAAGAAAAAATTTAATTTGGCCATTGATTATTTCATTGAAGCTTGATTGGTTGGTTTGTTGATCTCTTGACCGCTTCTTTGTCGCCACCTCTTACAACTGTCACGAAATTTTTTGGTTGGTTGATTGAGTGATTGATTGAGAGACGTTTCTGGGCTGATGGTTTTGATTTAAATGAGTCCATGTTGTTGTTGCGTTTGTTTATGTGTGTGCATTCGTTGCTTTACGCTTTTTCTCCGTTGGTCGGTTAATGATGGTCATTTGTTTTTAGTGGCTAATTGATTGATTGATCAATTGGCTGACTGACTGGTGATTGATAGATTGGTTGATTAATTGGTCGACTGACTGGTTGACCAGTTAAATTTATTTTTTCAAACTCGACTTTTTAGATTTAAAGTTGTTTTAACTTATGAAATTCTTAAAAGGCTAATATTTTTTGTTTTTTATTATGTTTGTATGCGTGTATATATGTATGTTAATATATAAATAAATTTGTATGTGTGTGTGTGTATGTATGTATGTATGTTCAGTCATACCATATCATATCAACAATGTGTGAAATAAAACTATAATTGTAAAAGTTTGTACATTACTGAAATTTATACAAATACATGTGTTTGTGTTTTATAATTCTATATGTATGTATTCCTGTATGTATGTGTGTATTTCTGTTTGTCTATATATATATGTATTTCTGTATGTATGCGTGTATTTATGTTTTATGCGTACGTTTGTATATTTTATAATTTTACTTCATCTTGTTTGCTAGGTTTTTTAATATATGGTTTATCTTTCTCTCTCTCTCTCTCTCTCACACGCACACTCCTTCTCTCTCTCCCTATTTCGCATACTTTATAATTTTTGTTCAGGTTAATTAACAACATTTTTTACAACACATCTATCTGTCTCTTACCTATCTAATATTTCACACTTCCCTTTATATATATATAAATATATATATGCATATAGGTCATATGCGTAGGTTATATATATATATATATATATATATATATACAAAGTGGTTGACCGGTGATTTCTATTATGCTTTAGGACGATGATAATGTGTTTCATAATATAATTAGTTATCATTATTTATCGTGTGTTAATAGTGAGAGCCTTTAGTTTGAAAGTAAAATCAGTTATAAAGTGTAAAAAAATAACTAATTTAACTGAATACTTGTAATTTTATTTGTAAATTTTTTTTTGTAACATGTCTGCTTTGCTGTGCCACAAATGTATTAGTGTTGTATTGTGTGTTTTTTGTTATACTGCACTGTATGTTTCGCATTGGGCTGTAGGTTTCGCTTTTTTGGGGATTTCTATTTAGTTTGTGTGTGTATTTGGATTCTGGATGGAGCTGTTGGGTACATGTCATAGACCATAGTCATAGGTAAAAGTTGAACTTGGAAATGATTGCTTCCCTCACCTTGGCTAGTTGATCAAAGCGGGTTCATAACGGTTGATTTATGGTCGTATATTAATATAATGTACATTGTTATGCTTGTGCGTACAAACATGTATGTAAATAGGTGTGTATGCGTGTACGTACAAACATGTTTGTATAAGATGTGTATACTTGCTTATTGGGATAAATACACATTGTAAATAGATAGTACACACGCGCACTGTACATTCTGTTCGTATGTATGTATATTTGTGTATATATATACATCGGTTTAAAAGTTATTATCGTTATTACTGTCGTTATTTTGCCTATCATTTGATCATGTTACTAAGATGTATTTTTTTTAATTTAATAAATTCAATTTAATAATTGGTTTTTAACTATTATTTATTATTACTATTATTGTTGTTGCTGCCTTCGCAGAACAAAACGGGAAAAAAAAACAAATTATTTCAATAAGAATTATAATGGGAGTTATATCTATTTTCATTTCATTGTCGTCCAGTTTGTGTACATTATCTCCATCTTACGGTGCATGTGTGTGTATGTGTGTCTTTATCCTAATCCACATTATAACATTTGTTCAGAGATATTTCTAATTGTGTGTGTTTTTGAACGTAATGTTTGTGTGTGTATATACATATATATATATGTTATATCTGTATACGTGTGTATACGATCAAAATACATTTGTATAATAAAGAAGTCCAATAACTTAATCAAAGATACACTTTAAATGATGTTCATGTGTTATTATACAAGAAAATAATTAACTAATAACAGGACGTCACGAGTTTTTTTTTCCAACTAGGAAATACATGTAACCAATTTACCTTGAATTTTACTCCAGGTTTTGTTTTTACTTAATAAAAACACATCACAGGTGCGGGTACGTAGATTTAATAGAATCAATGGATCATTTTATATTTCGGGATTTTAAATTTAAATATCTTTTGAAAAAAATCTTTTTTCAGTGAAAACCAAAAATTTAGCAAAAACTAAATAACGGCTAGGGATGAATAAAGGCGTATGTAGTATCTGTTACATATGCTTTCTCTATCAACCCATGCTAATATCTGATAGTAAATGATTTCACTTTTTCAACAGTAAAATAATATTAATTAACTAATTAATTAATTAAAACAAAACTAATTAAGACGAAATAGTTATTCATTATCTAGTGAAAATTACAAATGACAAAACTGCTTTTGCTCACTGTATTCCTGAAAAGTAAAAATGATTTGATATAACAGATATTAATCAATTAAAAATTTATTATTTTATATTAATCATATATTCATTATCATAATATAATAAAACGGTTATGTTTTTAGGAAAATTTCTAGAAAAAAGACAAGTTAACATGTTTCCATATCTTCTTCCTCATTTCTGGAGCCATCTGAAACGAAATATTTAAGAATAAAAAATAAACTACAAGGTATGAAATTACATGAAATATTAAAAATGGTTATAAATATTAAGATAAATATAGTAAAATATCAAAAACTAGTTTTGAGGTTAAGATTTTCAATGAACAAAGAGTCATAGGGCAAGTGTAATAAAAGAAAAGAACCGAAGATGGGAGTGCCTGTAATAACAAGAGAAAAGTAGGAGTGGCATTAGTAGATGTAGTTTTAGTAATAGTGTTTTATCACTAGAAAACCTTGAGCAGTATTATTAGCCAGGGCTTTGGCCTGTAGTAACTTCTTCAATCTTTCAACCTCCTCTAGTGTGGAGGCAGATGCTATGGCAGCCTATGCAGCATGAAAACAAATTATATTTTATCAGAATTAAGTTACATTTTATTAAATTAGTTGAATTTTTCATCAAATTTTAGTTATATTCTATAAAATGTTCTTATATTAAAAAAATAACCTTAATAGCTTCAACATTGGCTCTTTGATTCAAAACCTCTTTCTCCGCTACCTCCTTCTCGACATTGTTGCCATTTTCAATTTGCTGGTTCTTACTGGGGCTGGTCGAAGAAACAGCAACATTTTCTTGAGCTGGGAGAACTATTCGCGATCTTTTCCCTAATTCCTTCAACAATTCTTGACCCTTGACTCCTTTGAAGAGCTCTGATGCTGCTTCTTTCTCCTGAATGAAAAAATAATAAAAAAAACAAATCAAGTTTTAAAATGTATTAAGAAGAGAAAAAAATTTTTCTAATTCTTCTTACCTTTAGTTTAACTTTTTGAAAGTCAATTCTTTTAAGCTGTGGGATTTTATGAATCAGATAGAGTCTATAGTACTTTTTCTTGGCAACTGGGTTGTAGAGCAAACTGTTGGTGAGAAATTATTTTATAAACTAACATTTTTTTAATTTAATATTAATAATAATTATTTATTTTCCTAATTCACTTAGTTTCAAGGTATGGCAGAAAAAATATTTTATGAATCATTAATGATAATTATTTTAAAATTTATATTTCACCCATTTAATCATTTATTTAAAGTTGACATTAAAGCCAAATATTTTTAATTTTTGTAAATATTTAATGATCTTAGTAAAATTATTGAAAAAGAAGTTATGTTTAAAAAACAATTTCATCAAAGAACCTTAAACTTTGCAAAGATTTTATAGAGCTCAGCACATCAAGGTCGCCCAACTCCGTCATCCTATTGTTCATTAGTACCAAAGACTGTAAATTTGGCAAGTTGATTTCAAGATTTTCTTCGATGCGGCTAAGGAAAAAAATTAATGTGAAATTAAGAACAAATCACAATAACATGGCTTCACTGAATTCAAAATTTCATTGTTAAACATTTCAATAAAAATATTAAAAAAAATAATGGACATTACTTGATGTGGTTATTACTAAGTAGAAGACATTTTATTCTTTTCAGAAGAGGAAAATTATCAACTTTTCTAATTTCATTGTCTGTAAAGTCGATGACGTCAAACTGATCCTTTATATTTTAAAAGTTATTACAACTATTTACAATAAAATTATATTAATATAATTATATAATAAAACCAAATCTTTTGAAAATAAAATTTTTTAAATTTATTTTTACAGAAAATGTTCTAAAAAAAATTAAATTAATAATTTTTTTACCAAGGTGGCCCCCAGGTTTTCAATAGCTGGTATTTTGTAACCTATAATAATAAAACAAGTAATTTTTATTTTATACAATATATAATAAATAAATATAAAACCTTATTATTTAATTAATTTTATGCCAAAATAACATTATGTTTAAATTTAATTTCTAATCATCTAATCTAACACTAATGTAAACGCTTTTATCATACATAAAATAATTCAATCAATCGAACGATAGTCGATACGAAATAATTATGATACCGATACGATACGACACTGACCTCTTAGATCCAGTTGCCTATCCTTCACCGGATTAGTGAATTGAATGGCTTGTTCGATAACTTCTTGCGTCAACTTCACCATTTTTTTCGTTCAATTTTACAAATACGAATGCTGATTTACCTGATTATAAAATTAACTTAAATTACTACATTAAAGGAAAAATGCGAATTTGAACGAACGATATTGGATTAAGTTTACTTTTTATAAAATGCAAACACGCGAAGAGTGCCGGTAAATAATTATTTAAAGCGAACTGCGAAATTAATTTGCGAGCTGTCATTAAAGATTACATACGTATATATAAATATATATAAAACAAAATTAACATATTATTAAATACATTATAATTTAGCTAGTAATATATATAATAATATAGTAATAATGTGAATTTAAAGTATATATGTAACGTAATGTAATTATTTTAAAAAATTGCTTTGACTAACTTTTCTTACGCTAACGATGTTTTGTAAATTTAGCTTCACTGACGTGATGAGGATTTTTGATTTGATATTTATTTTATATAAATTAATTATTAAATCGAAATAATTTTGCAGAAATGTCACATAATACTAACAAACCATTTCACGAGGAATGGAGAAAACAAGTATTATATTATTTTTTTATAATTTGTATGGAATTTGCACAATTTAGTGAGTGTGAGAGTCCAGTGAGAGAAAGTGATAGAGACTTGCACTTGCACTTGCTCTCTGTACTTAACTTGTGGTGAGATGATGATAAGAAGGAGAGTGAATAGAATTACTGATTTAATTGCAAAATACAATTTGATCTACCTTCTTTCTATAGCCTGGTACACTTTCTTTGTGAATTAAATAAAATTACTAATTTTTAATTTTTATTTTATTACATTTCACAAATTACTTCTTTAATTCAATTTTTTATGTTTTAATTTGTTTTTATTTAATTTTAATATAAAACATCTTAATAAAAATTTAATGTTGGCTAGGCAGAACTCATTAGCATGCAAGAAATTAATAACCACTTATCTTTTAATTTAACATGATTTAATTGACCATTTGATTTGTAATTATTTATATTGAGAACTTACCATTTTTGGGGGACAATCAATTATAAATAAATTAAAATATAAGGAAAAATAGTGAATTACTTTAGTTATTTTTATAAATAAATTGATATAAATTCAGGCAGAAATAGTTTATTCTCTGCTGTCAATGTTAAACTCCAATGCTAACTCAGATCAGCCTCCACTTGTAGCATTGCTCCATGATAAAAATGCACACACCAAACAAGAAGGTATGCAACAAATGAATTTAAAATAAAAATGCTTATTTTTTATAAATGTTATAATTTATTAATATTCACTTTTTGTTTTTCTTCTGCAAATATAGTTAGGTATAAATATATGTGAATATATATTAGATAAATGTGAAAATGATTACTTAATATGCTTGTCATACAGAAGAGATGTCATCAAGTGCACTGGAATCTCTGATGAAATTATCATTTGATGATAAACAAAGACAGGCTATTTGTTATCTAGGTGTCTTCTGCTATTAATAAATTCATTTTTTATTTCAGATTATCATTTTTTTGTTCAATAATTTAATCATTAATCATGAAACGAAAGTGGGATGAACTGTTATAATGATTTTTTTTTGTTACTTAAAATTTGTTTTGTTCCCTTAACACTTATAACATAGCAATAATGTTTACTATCCTTCAAGGTGGTCTTCAATCCATTGCTCTGGTGTTGAAAAAAAGTAACCAAGAATTTGGTAGTGACTGTTGCAATGAAAACGTGATTAAGCTCCGTCTTCAAGCCTGCCGGGCACTTACTAACTTAACTTATGGATTTGCTAAAAATAAATCGATCCTTTGCTCGATTGACGGATTTGTGGCCACAGTGGTTGAGCAGTTGAAGTCGCCAAATGAGGAGCTGAGGAAAGTTGCTGCCAGCGTGCTTAGGAACTTGTCATGGAAGGCTGATGCTGATGCCAAGATTGTCATGAAGGAGGTTGCTCTTGTCATTTTTCTTACTTTTTCTTTTTTCTTTCCAATCTTAAAAAATTGATGCGATGGAAACATTAGTGTTATGTAGATGAAAATCATTCATTGAATTGTTCAATAAATCTTTTATCTATCGAATAAAATGCGTTTAATTGTTCATCATTTAACTATTGCCAAGTTTCTTAACCATTCTTTAATGCAGTGCTCCACAAACTTTTTGGTCCCGCTGAATTTTTTCCACTTCTTTGCAGAGCACTGCTCCAATGCTCTCACTTTTTGAAAATAATTACAAAATATAATAAAAGTATCAAACAATTATTAATGAACAGTCCGGGATGGTGGCTGGTTTGCTGACGGCGGGGATGGAGGCAGAGAAGGAGTCAACATTGAAGTGCATCCTGGATGCCCTCTGGAACATATCTGCCCACTCTGTCGAGAACAAAGCTGACATCTGCGACTTCCCCGGCTCTCTCGAGTTCATCACCTCCTTACTAACTTACTCTAGTCCTTCAAACAGTTCCACCATCATCGAGTGTGCGGGAGGCATATTGAGGAATATTTCTATTCACGTTGCGGTGCATGAGCAGTATCGAATGGTTAGTTGCCTGCCTGTTGAATGGTTTTTGTTCTGGAAAAAATTTAGTTTGAGATATCATTTTAAAATGTGAACTTTTGATATGTACAGGTTCTCAGAAGGCAGAACTGCTTTGAGATCTTACTGAAGCAGCTGCAATCAGACAACTGCAACATAGTAAGCAATGCGTGTGGCTCCTTGTGGAACTTGTCAGCCAGATGTGGAGAGGACCAGCAAACTCTGTGGAGGCTGGGAGCCGTCAGACTGCTGGGAAATCTCGTTGATTCTGAAGACAAATCTATTTCTATAGCCAGTTCAGCTGCATTGAAAAATCTTTTGCTCTACAAATCCAACACATCTTCGCTATTCACCTCATGCTCTTCTAGTCCGACGAGCTACCAGGCACAGCCCGTCATCATCAGCGGTGCCGGGATGGAGGGGGATGTCCCTGACCGTGATGCAGTCCTCCTGAATGACGATTCTGTTGATGAGCCAATTGATTTTAGTACCAAATTTAAGGAGGATGTTGTGGAGAATGATGAACATCAGTTGAATGGCTTCATGACCGCAGATACGAAACGTGAAAACAATGCGCCTTGTATCATTAACAACAACAGTAACAACGGTGCAAACGTAACTGACAACAATGACACAGCAAACTTCATTCCAAATAACACCAACTTTACCTATCCAATCCACAACGTAAAGGACCAACGACTGATGCAGCTGCAGATGAAAGCAAAACCCACCACCACTACCAAGAAGGTACCTGATGTGGGCAGGCAGGTTCCAGGGCTCTGTCAGGTCTACAAAGTTAACTCTGGCTATTCAAGCCCCACCGAGCAGCCCAAACTGTACTGCACGGAGGACACACCAGATGGCTTCTCGATAGTGAATGGCTCGATGTGCGCCATCAATGATATTGACTGCTCGAGGAACGATTATTTCGGATATTCTTCTAACGATTCCACCGCTAACTTTAATGTCAGTAACGCTAATAACTTCACCGTCAATAACCATGTAAATAATAATAATATTATCAATAATGCCAAATTAAACTATAATCCGCAACTAAATAAACCTCAGTCAGTTTCTTCTAATCAAATTCTCATGCACAGTTTCAACTTGAACAGCAACAAAGTAATTGATTATTATGAAGAGGCCAAAGATGAGCCAATAGATTACAGCGTAAAGTATCAAGAAATTCTTCCAGATAAGTATCCAAGCAAAATAAAATGGCTGCCCTGTGAGTCTTACCTCCCTTACAAACAACAAGTGCTGCTGCCTCTGTACGAAAGCTCAAACACCCGACTGCATAATAATGCAAAGCCAACAAAAAGTCACGTCACATCGCTTCCATCTGGTTCGACGGTTCAAAAAGCTGATGCCGGTCAAAAAGAGAATTTTGACATTATGAAAAATAAATGCTTAAGTGCAGCACAGAGCAAGATTTCGCCTGGCTCAGCGTGCAGTCCGAATGATACACCGATGCAATTTTGCACGGAGGGCACGCCGATTGGTTATTCGAGAGCGAGTTCCCTCAGTAGCTTGAGTGTGAAGAGCTCTGAAACTGAGCATGATCAGACTGTGGGCAATAAAGTGCATGTTGAAAAAATTGCAGAATCATCATCCACCTTACCATCCATTCAAGAAAACGAGGCTCTAAACATCACTCCTATGGTCAGCAAGCAGAATAATCAAAATACAAACAAGAACACTGGAAAGTCGTCGGGCTCTAGTGATAACAACAGCCATCATAACGGCTCGGGAGGTTCTAAGACCGTCAAATTTGATGAGACGATTCAGACGCCGATGATGTTTTCGAGATGTAGTTCGCTCGGCTCGCTCAGCAGTTTCGATGCCAGGTCAGTGCACAGTTCGGTCATCAGTGAGTATAGCAGGAGGGCGAGTGGCATCGTGTCTCCGAGCGATCTGCCCGATTCTCCCGGCGACACCATGCCTCCGAGTCCAAAAACTGGCAAGCAGCACGAGAGGTGTCCCAGTAGCAATAGGCCTCGAGGAGAAACAGCTAGTATTCCAGTTGGAGAGCAAGGTGCAGATGTGAAAAATGATTCGGATTGTTCGCTGTCGGACAACGGGGAGGACTACGACGACGACTTGCTGAGTGAGGTCATTCAAGCGGCCATGCCAAAGAGTAGAAAACATTCGAGAGTAACTTATGAAGTTGTCAATAATAATTATTCCGATGGTCGGGATGTGAAGATGATGATGGCCAGAAAGCCGTTCCCAACGAGTAGTGATGTAATGATGTCGGCCGGCAACAACAAAGCCTACTTGCAACCGCAGAGCCATCAGCACGTCACTAATCTGGATTCCAATCAGGATCAGGATACTTTGAAAGTGTATGCAGAGGAAGGTACGCCGTTTGAAATTTCTAGGGTCACGTCTCTCAGCGACATTTCGATCGACGATTCAGCTGCTGGCAAAAAATTTAAAAAAGATTCAAACCAGAGACGTTTCATATCCGTCCAGCCTCAAAAAACATTTTTGCAAAGTCAAAACGCCTTACTGGAAGATTCATTTAAAACATATTGCCTCGAAGGAACTCCTGTTAATTTTTCAAGAAATGATTCTCTGAGCTCTTTGGGCTCGAAAGATTTCTCTTCTCCCGGAAAATCTGAAGCAGAAATTCACCCAAAGTTGAAAAAGATGTTTATCAATTCTTCAAACAAAAAGAATGCAGCCAGTGCAGCAAAGCATATGATGACATCAACACCTTCAAACAGCAGCAGACATCATCAGATGCTGGGAGACGAGGTGCTGAGGTACGCCGTGGAGGGCACTCCGGATAAGGTACCGCCCATCTCCTACGAAGATACCTCCCTACACGCCGGCGCTAATAATGACGTCATCGATGACAAAATTACGTTCGATAACAATCAGTTGCATGCTCGCAAATCTTCATCCCTAAATAATGATAGGACCAGTGATAACGGCGATGATGATGATGATAACAAAAAAGGAATGAAGTCATCGTCTTCATCGTCATTGGGCGATTCAGATGACGACGATGATGACGACGACTCACCGATAAAAAATGATCTTCTGCAGGAATGCATAAACGCTGCCCTCCCCAAAAGCAAATCCAGAAATTTGAAACAGAAAATAAATTTGGCACAGGCGCCTAAATGTGCTTCCAACAAGTCCATACCTTCTCAGACTAGGAGATGGAGTTCAGAATTCAGGATGAGGAATAATAGAGGGGACGGTGCGACTAATACACCCGAGAAGATTAATGGTAGTCGAGGTAATGATGGAATTGTGTGTGTGTGTGTGTGTGTGTGTGTGTGTGTGTGTGTGTGTGTGTGTGTGTGTGTGTGTGTGTGTGTCTGTGTGTGTGTGTGTGTGTCTGTGTGTGTGTCTGTGTGTGTGTTAAGAATGGGGTTTTGAGAATTTAAAACTGATTAAACATGATTAAGGGATATTGTTTTTTATTTAATTTCATTTTGAAGGCCATTCTTTTGTAAATTAATTACATATTAATGAGGTTTTGTTAGGTTTGGGAAATTTTATTTAATTCATGTCACATTGGAATAGTTTTTTTCATTGTTTTTTTCTCTTTAAATACAATTTCATAATTATTTAGGCTTCAAAATTCACTTTAATTTATTAAAATATTAAAAATTAACAAAACCAAACATGTAATTTTTACCAACATCCAAACGACAGAATGTGGCGGCAAACCGCAGAGCAAACCAGACTCCTTGAAGAAGGCGCGATTCATCACGAACGCCCTCCACGAGGCGACGACATTCTCGGAAGAGGACGACTGCTCGACGTCTGGCCACAACACCGAAGCCAACAACACCGTCATTTTTAAGGGCTCTCAGAGTAATAATGGTGGCGAAGACGATTATAAAGATGATGAGGAGGAGGAGGAGGAAGAAGAAGATGATGATGGTAAGAATGTTGAAGAAAAGGGTGAAGTGATGTTAATTGAGTCGCCCTTGATTCCTTCAGCTGTTGACGTCTCATGTGCATCGACATCTGGTAATTTTTTATTTGTTATTCTTTTTTAGGATCATTCTTGGTTTTCTATTTTATTTAGCAGTTTTTGAGTTGAAACATTTAAATATTGGATTGTTGTTGGTTGGTTTGGTGTGGAAAAATTATTACCTTCTTGTTTTTTTCTGTTTGTACGTGAGCGATCATTTTCTTCAGAGCTCCTGCATAAAAGAGTGATACAAAAACAATTTCTCTTTTACTAATTTCAGACGCGCCTACAACAGGGTCTGACGAATGCAAAAATAATGAATCAATTGGTGAGGATTTGGAAGCTGATGAGACGACGACAACATCAGCTGAAGAATTCTCAATAGACAACATCAACCTCCTATCGTCACGTTCATTAAACTTACCAGGGTTAATTTTAACAGAGGAAAATTCTAATGCTCTCAACCTCTCACCCAGTTTGCTATCAAAAAGTGCTGAATCCATACTATCAGTTGAGAAAAATCACTCCAAGAATAAATCCAGTATTGACTTCAATGACTTCTCCGAATTAATTGATGATTTCTACAACAAAACTCGTCTCCAGGATTTGGAAGGCAGTAGGTTCGACATGAAATCGGCCAACAACGCCGAAACGGAGTCGACTGTGACGACTGACAGGAGTGAGTTTCAGTCGTCATCTCTCTCCAGTAGTTCATCCCTACCCAACAGTTTTAACATCCATGATGGCGCTGAGACAGCTGCAGTTGAGAAGAAGCAGAGTAAAAACAAACTGCTGAATTTCTTTAGGAAACATTCAATAAGAAGGCCCAAGTCTAAAAATTCTGACTTGGAGCTGTCAATCAGTAAAAGTAATGGTTGTAGTAGTAGTACTAGTAACAACAATAACACTGGTAAGAAACTTAATTTTAATTTAGCGATTGGAAAAACATTGAAGAAGAAATGAGGTGAACATACATACATACATACATACATATAAGTCAGAAATGCAAATACACGCATACACAGCACACAGATATATACATACACACACTCACATACATACACATACATACATACATAGATACACATTTTTATATAGTTTATTTCATTTGTATTATTTTGTTTTAAGAACAAATTTTACCTTGGGCAATGTAATGTAATGTATGGCAACCAATGTATTTTTCTGTATCTGTAATGTATGTATTGTTATTTGTGTGTGTGTGTGTGTGTGTGTGTGTGTGTGTGTGTGTGTGTGTGTGTGTGTGTGTGTCTGTCTGTCTGTCTGTCTGTATTGTGTTTATATATATGTGAGCGTGTGCGCGTGTGCATGTGTGTTATGTTAAACTACTGTTAGCGTTTCGTTTCTATGGAATTATGTCAGGATAAATTTGGTTTTTATGATTATTCGTTTTTTAAAATAATCAATCATGTCTAAACAAAATACGTAAAACTTAAACTTCAATGGAAATAAAATTAATAAATAATAGTTTGTTGTTAGAATTATTATCATTACTAATGTTATAAAATCTTCAAGTGAATTAGTAAGTCTCAAGTTAGTAACTTGTCTCAATTGCTATCACCATAAAATTTTGGAGAAAAATTATTCAAGTCTCGTTCCTTGTCGACAACTCCTGTTTAATTCTTATTTCAAGGTGTGATTCGTGATTCATATTTAGAAAGCTTTTGCATTAAATTTCTGACGTATCCGTAGTAGCAGCTATTGTTATCACACATGTATTTATGTAATTAGAAATGCTTTGATAGTTAATTAAAGGCACCGAACTGCTCGCTTATCACAGGCGGTTGCGTTTGATGCCTCGATCCACTCGTATTCGCACTGTCACTCCGATTTATTGCGAAATCAAATCCAAATGTATGTTGGCTTTGGTTGTATCGATTATCGATTATAAGAGGACTTTTGTCATTGTAGAAATTTGTATGATTACTGTTGCTCTTTCTCTCTCCCAAATTCAGGTAAAAATTTGTGATTGTCATAGATAGGTATCACAAAGTTCAATTATTTATTTGTTCGTGACGTATGCATGCGTGTGTGCGTGCGTTCATGCCTGCTTGGCATCTATGCCAATATATCATGTAATTGTCGCTGCATTGCTGTTTTGTATGAAAATTTTTTACAGTATGAAAATTATTTCAATAAAAAATTTAAACTTAGCAGATGGATATGCAGAGCTTTAAAGTATTAATGTTAATTTCATTTGCTGTTGTTTTTTATATTTTATGGTATATTCTTCTAGTCAGCAGAAATGTAAAGTTATCATTCAATCTGCAAAACGCGAGCAAGGCATCTGACGGCAGCGGTGAAGAATTCCAGCCGATGAACGAGAAAGGAGTCTTCTCGTTCTACAACGTCTGCATCGAATCTTTGCAGCAACCTTACAGCGAAGTCTACCCTGGCTTCATCAGACACACCGAGTACAAAGTAACGAAGCGCATTGTGGTTTACGACAGCCACAACAAAAACAACCAAACTAAACAAGTCATTCGTGTCTCTGGCACTTACAATTCTCAAAAAAATTATTGGACCATTCATTTTAGCAATCAAACAATTCCAGCGGCTCACCAGTTCAACAAAGAAACCGCTTTCTTCATCACAATTTTCTGTCCAGGCAATCTCCACCACTTCTGGGTGGACGAGTTCGCTCCTCTCTTCAGCACCGTCAGACAGACAGGTCGTCTCAAGCGCCATCTACAGAACATTTTATTCTACAGAGAGCCAGTGAACCTCGACAACCAGACCATTCAGGAATGCACAAACGTCAAAACCTACCAACAAATTCTCAGCACCCTCTACATAAAATTTCCTCACAGAGTTTTCTACGAAGCTGCATCAGGTACGTGTTACTCGAATGCCGTCTTTGGTGTTGAATCTTCTTATTTGAAAAATCCGAGAGATGCAGTTGAACACGTGACGAGAGAAATTATGAACAATGTTTCAAATGTTCAACAAAACGCGACAAATGAAACCTGTGATGTTTTGCTGGTGCAAAGGAGAACAAGGAAGATTTTGAATTACGATGAGTTGGTCAACATTTCAATCTCGCTCGGATTCAGGAACGTCTGTCAGGTCAGCTTTGAGGGGATGTCCATTCAAAAACAGGTCAAACAATTTTTTCAATAATGAATTTTTACAGAAAAAAATTTTCACACAATTTTTTAAAAGAAATTATACAAAACTTTATATTTAAAATGAATGAAATACTAAACTTGAATGCGAATGAAATTTTCTACAGATTGGTTGGGTGAGGAAAACAAAAATAATGGTCGGAGTGAACGGAGCGGCACTTCAGTGGTCCATCTTCATGGCGCCTGCTTCAAACCTCGTCGAAATATCCTGGCCTAAACAGAACTGGAAATTTTATTACGCCGACCACGTGAAAGCTTACAACATCGGCTACCACCAGGTCGTCGCTTCTCATGTCTATCCGAACTGGAGCAGCTACGAGAGAAGGGTGAAGTTTCGGAAGCTGAGTGAGGAAGAGAAGAAGAAGATGCTGGCAGGCAGGTGGGATGGAAACTTGCATGACAATTTCTGGAAGTGGGCCGACATCGTGGTCGATGTTCAACAGTTCCGAGACGTTCTCAAACAATTCATCAGGTGGTAATTAACGAATGAATTAATAATTAATGATGACTCATTCTAAAGTTTGTGTGCGGTTGACATATTCAATAAAATCTAATGTCAACAATTCGTTTAACGAGATTTATTAGAACAAAGGACCATCACTTTTACGATCTATCCGATTGCCTAGTTTAATTAAATTTTGTAACAACGTTAAACTGCTGTTCAATTTGTTACGCACGGAATATTTAACATTTTCAGCAATCTTTCATACGTTATCATTTTAATCCGCACCATTCAATTGTTTTAATGTTCTTTTCGATATTTTTATCTTCAAATGCAATTTTTTTTTACGCCCGTTTTAGATTTGCTTTCTTTTGTAATATCTATTAATTTTTAGTAAAAAAGAAAAATGAATTTAAATAGAAGTTATTTTTTATAAATATGCTATAGTGACAAGTTTTCAGTTCCAAAAATCAGCATGAGATGACAGTTTTAAAGATTGAATAAATATATCTAATCTAAACGTTGTTAACTTGTCTTACAGTTCTTGAATTTTTGTGCAGATGACCTTCGGTGGCTGACCTTTGGTGGCTGATCTTCAGTAGCTGACCTTCGGTGACTGTCAACTTGTTCTTTTGGTCGTTATGAGACTTTGGCACATTACATGTTTTTTCATGTTTATTGCAAATAAAACGTTATTTTATTTACTGATCCTATCGTCCGTATTTACAGTTACCAACCTTATTTTGTTAACAACCGTGTGAAAGGTGATAAAGAACTTTTTTCTAATGTACAAGCAATAAAATCTGTCAAACTTGAATCTAAATTATTAAGCTACAAATATTGACAATATGTTATCAGAGACAGAAATTTTTCTTCAAACCACTGCACATAATCTAATTGAAATGAATGTAATTATTTCAAAAATTCGAACACGTCGCCACAAAAACTTGAAGTGGTTCTGTTGGCTGCTGGCAGGCAACTCATTTCACTCTGTTTCTCACCACTCGCTGTTCCAACAACCTCTGGTTGCATTTCTAGTAGAAAATTAATAAAAAAATTATTTGAGGTTTTAGTATTTTTAATTTTCTTAATTAATTTTCTGAAGTATCAGCAACTGAACATTGCCGCGATGGGTTTGGATCTCTTTCATACATGCCCTATCACACTCAAGCTTATTTGGAATCAGACTAAAGATAAAATAAATTTATACTTATAAAAAATTATTTCTAAAAAAACTAGAAAAATGATAACAAACATCATTGCTATTTGCATTCTCCAAAAAGACGACAGTATCCAGTTTTGATTTTGAAACTTTTTTGCGAGAGCCAAACTTGCACCTTCTTTCTTTTCGTGAATTTTTGTAGTTGATATTTTGAGAATCGAGCCACAGATGGAACAAAATCTCAGTTACCAAATCCTGATCGTTGGCGTTCAGTGAAATTAAGTCCATCACCAATAACCCATCGCGTTTCAAGTAGTCACGAACGAATTTTGATGTCATTTGTCTGCTAAGGTTGTTGAAACGATCTGCCGATTTCAAACGCTGGTGGATGGAGTTTGCCTGTTAAATATATTAAGATTAATTTTTATACATTTTTCAATTGTTAGACAATATCCTTTTACAATTTTAGCCCATATTAAACCACACGATAACAAATCACAACATGTTCAACAACTCATCAAAAAATATTACGGGACTATTAACAGTAAGTTAAAGCAACAAAAATATCTCACAAATAAGATTGAACGTTAAAGAAAAATGTAATATCTCACAAATATGATTAAAAATTATGAAAATACGCAGCGAAAAACCTGGCAAAAGACAAACCAGAGCCTAGCCAGCCAGTTCAAAAAGTTGGTTGTAGTCAAACTGAAAAGGAAGAAGAACCAGGCAAGAAGGAAGATGAAAACTTTTTCGTTTATTAAGTTGATGGGCAGCACACATTGCACGGTGTATCGGTGGACGTTTATTTGCTGACGAATCAAAAAATCACAGAGCGTCACTTTCGGAAACCTGCTAGGATCAAGTTGGAAGACGTCGCTGAACTCGTTAATATTGAAATTTATCTTTGAGTGATTTGAGAAAGTTGATGAGAAAAGTTTCTTCACGAGTAAGGAATCAACGATGACGATGTTTAACATCACGTTGCATAGGTAAATGAGTTTCGTTGTAAGATACAAGAATGATAACTTATCACTTAGTGGGTTGATGATGAAACACCGCGAACATCTCACAAGCCACCGATAGCATCTTTTCAGATATCCAACAATTTGTTTGCAGTAGCTGGCAGCAGTTGAACGCTCCTTTTCCGAACGATGGTAATCAAAATTGTCATCTCTAAACTCATCGAATGGCGAGCCAAAGAACGAGTTACGTCTGTTTGTATTCTTTCTCAAATAGTTTATCAGAGGCGTTACAATTTTTTTCAGATTTCTGTTTTTAAAATCGCCTTCATCTGAATTCAACTTAACATTGACAATCGCGAATAAGTTAATTCCCAAATTTTTTAGACAAAACTGCCAGAGTATGTACGGCGAAAAAAATGTCACTGCCTGCCCGACCAGCAAAAACGGAATCCACTGGTAATAAAGGACGAAAGATCTTAGCTTGATATCTCGAGGAATGGCTTCTTCAAAAGGTGCGAAATAGGTACCATTAACCCAACAAATTGAATTAGCATAATCAACGTGAGATGGGGCGAAATTGCCTGGACACCAGCAGTCGATTGGTGAGCCAGCGTACTGCTTCAAACTGACGATGGTTGTGGCAGCCAGCAGTATGCAGCAAGTGTAGTAACGATTCAGTCGGTCGATTCCATCGTCAATGTTTGCGACTCGTCTCCTCAGATCGTTGAATCGGTCTAAAGCGTTCAGTAAACCGTTTAACATACCGATAGTTAGTTGAATACTTGACGGTAATCAGCTGTAAACAGAGCTGGAAAAGTAGGTACAAAACTTACAGAGATGTTCCAAAGTTAATTAGTTTTAACAAATTGCACTGCGCTTTACCAATAAATATCTTTCTTTTACAACTTTAACAAAACTCTTAAATAATTAATAAATTCGAAACTTCAAAAAAACTTCAAATTCTTTCAAATTTCTTTCAAATTTTTTAAAACTCTCTTCATAAAAAAAAACCTGGTGCTTAGGCTTAGACAAATCGAGCGGAAATAAACTTACAAATTCTTAGTTGACCAAAAGAAACATTCCTTAAATACAAACAACCGACACCAGCCACACACACGCGCGCAAAAGATGAAAGCTTCTAACCACATGCGACTGCCGCAAGGAATGTTAATCTCTAACTCCCACAGCGTCGAAATCTTCAAGATGCTACTAACAAATTAATGTGCGTTTCCGAGCGCACGTGTGTAACAGTAAGGTGAAACATTCAGATAACAGATTAACGTGTGTTTAAGGTGTTTCATGTGATGTGTATCCATTCGAAATGCTTCTACAATCAGCAAAATTTATACACATTCTAATACACTAACTTACACACACATACAAACACACACACACAAACCCACACACACAAACACGTATTTATTCATAGTTTTACTTGATGAAAAACATTTGAAACACAATACGTCGTTTAATACGGAATTTAATATAGGGAAAAATAATATTTTCATGTAATAATAACATCTTAACAAAATATGCTGTACACTTCACACATTATATATATATATATATATATATATATATATATATATATATGTGTATATATGTAAAATTCCTAACAATATACAGTATAAACTTTCATTTATATAATTAAAGCAACATTTAAAACAATAAGGGATAAAGAATTTATATATATATATATATATATATATATGTGTGTGTGTGTGTGTGTGTGTGTGTGTGTGTGTGTGTGTGTGTATAATTTAACCGTTATAAATAAATTTTTTGTTGTGCGTGATTAATATTTTTACGTTAAATATCAAATGAAAACAACAGGAAATAATAATAATAATAATAACAATAATAATAACAATAATAATAACAATAATAATTTTACGTCTTACTTGCATAACAGATATATAAGCAGGAGAAACAGGCAAAATGAAAAGTTATAAAATGTTCAACTAAGATATAATAATGTCGATTGATCAGTTGGTTGAATGAATGAATGAATGAATTATTGATTAAATGGATATATGATGATTGACCGATTGAGAAACCATGCAGTAGAAACACGCATTAGCAAAAAGATATTTTAACAAATGGATAACAATATTTCAATATAAAAATATTGCTTAACGTAATTAATAACACAATAATAATAGTAATAATAATAATAAACAGTTATAGTCATATATAATTTTTTATTATTATTAATACGATCATGCAATCAAGTTTCTAATCAGAAAATAATGACTGAACAACAACAATAACAATCGCTAATTATTACAATAATAATAAATAATAATAATAAATAATAATAATAAATAGTAATAATAATATTATCATTATTATTTTAAACTGTAAAATAGCACATAGAGAAAATCCATATTAAAAGAAAATCGATTTTGTTCCGGATTGAAGAAATTATATTTCATAGCAAACAACTCAAAATGTGCACACACACACACGCACACACACACACACACATAGAACATTACAATGACAGAGCAGAAATATATGAAAACATAGGTAATACAAATAAAATTTATAAAAAAGATATTTGATTTATTATTCATAGCGTGATGTTCATTTGCTATGCTTGACTTCTTTGAACGGCTGTGTTGACAGTTTCAAAAACAAAATGAAAGATTACATTTATTAAAAAAACAAACATCGAACACGATAGCCATACAACTTGGGTTGTTTTCTACGCTGCTTTATCAAGGAAGGAGAAGAACTGACACAAAGACAACAATGTTTCTCTACGGTTTCAATTATTCTTTCAAGAAAGAAAAAATGAAACATTTTATTTCAGTATAAAATATCGCAAAAAGTTTAAAATTCATCAAAGAATGAGGATGACACCATGATTAAGTGTAACAAAGTTAAGTCGTTCATCAATGAAATTCATCGAATAATCATGTATTGCAAACAATAGACTAAGACTACACTATACTATAGTTGAATTCCTGTATGTGTATGTGTGTGTATTTTTGTATGTGTATGTATGTGTGTGTGTATATGTATGTGTTAGTGTAGGTGTATGTATAAGTGTATATAAGCCGATATCTTAAAGCAGGCTAAATCCTCACCATACAATTTTTTAGTCTCTTTTTTATTTCCCTGCTATAAGGCTCATATATACATTCAAATAAGTGGCCGATACATTGTGACATTAATAATAACAACAATAACAACAATAATAATAATAATTATGATGATAATAATAATAATTATGATAATAATAATAATTATGATTGGTTGATCAGCTGGCAAACGAAATACTTTTATTTATTCATATTTGTTTTCAGTTGACTAGTTTTGAAACGTAGTTGACTGTAACAGATGGAATGAGCACATGTTATGTCATTCATTCATTCGTTCGTTCGTTCATTCATTCGTTCATTCATCCCTCAATCAATCACCCACTCATCCAATTACCATAAAATTAACATAATTTATTCAAATCAGACTAATAATAGCATATTTAAACCAAACAGTGACCATGTGCGAATAAAAATGACATAGCAATATCCAGATCCAAATTGTTATCATAATTTAATAAAATAAAGTCGATGCTAATTAAATCAATTAGCATAACACATTTAAACAGAGAGCTAATTAACATAATTTATTCAGTAACAGTTAATACTATCTCTCAATCGATCGATATTGGTGCAGAAACTGATTAATATTAAAACTATTCAATCAATTTTTCTATAAATTGTGACTGGCATGTTAAAATAATAATAATAATAAAAATAATAATATTAATAATAATAATAGTGGACCAATCAGTCAACCGACCAATAAATAAATCAATCAATCATCCAATCAACCAATGATCTTTATATAGCTAGCTACCAGAGAATGTTATTTGTGTGAGATTTCATTGGCTGGTTGATTGTTAAACTTTTAATTTAATTCATAATTTAAGAAACATATATTGGACAATTATTGTTACAAAAATACAGGCTCAGTTGATTGATTGATTAATTGGTCGATTGATTAATTAATTGATTGATTAATTGGTTGATTGAAGGAATGAATGATTGATTGATTAATTAATTGACTGATGGTTTGATTGATTTGAACACATGCAAGGTTTATACAACAATTGCACAATGTTTTATATAATATTAAAAGAAGAATAAGAAAATAAATATACGATTATCAAAACATAAATGTGAATGAATGAATGAATGAATGAATGAATGAATGAATGAATGAATGAATGAATGAATGAAAGAATGAATGAATGAACGAACGAACGAATGAATGAACGAATGAATGAACGAATGAATTAACGAACGAACGAACGAACGAACGAAGAAATTAAAGAATAAGAGAATGAATGATCGGGAAAACGAATGGTTTTCTATTTTAGTCGGAGTTAATTTTGCTTTCTTCGATTCTGCAATGGAAATTATTAATGGAAATATATTAGTGGAAGGTTTTATATTTCATTACAATTCATTACAATGTATTACAATTCATTACGTTTTATTACAATTCATTATAATTAATTATATTTCTCCCCTCAAAATTTTTGAGGCATTGTTAACGCTAAATAAATGAATCAAATTTGAAAAATTTCAATTAAGATTCATTAAATGAATTTCCATAAATAAAAAATAGAAAAGCAAATATATGGATAGATAAACAAACATACAGACAGACAGACAGATAGACAGACAAACAGACAGAGAGAGAAAAATAAATGAATAAAAGCCTAAGATACGAACTCGGCATGGAAAAAATCGTTCGAAAAAAGATTTTTGAGGAGGAGGTGGAGGTTGGTCTTCGAGGAGATCTGCCGTTGGCGTGTTGTCAGGGCCAAAGACGTTCAATTCGGCAAAACAATCTGTTTCTATCATCTGTGTATGTATGTGTATGTGTGCGTGTGTGTGTTTAAGTATGTGTGCGTGTGTGTGTGTTTAAGTATGTGTATGTGTGTGGTGTGTGTGTTAGTGTTGAAGTACCTCGTTCTGCCAGGGTATGGAGACGCAGCCTGTGTTGAACTTCTGATAGAAAGTGTCGTCGCTGGCGTCTAAGTTGACGCCCTTCACTGTTGAGAATTGTTCAATGTCAAGGACGTCTTTGCAGTAAACTGCGCGTGACTGACAGTGGGTGGGCGGGGCAGGAACATTGGTTCATGATTATGTATGGATGAAGTAAGGAGAGAGAGAGAGAGAGGGGGAGAGAGAGAAAGAGAGAAAAAGAAAGAGAGAGAGAGAGAGAGAGGGAGGGAGAGAGAGAAAGCAACAGAAAGGACAAACAGAGAGAAAAAAATGAAGGAACAAACAAAAGCAGTAAGTCGACAACGACAATGACAACAGTGGTCTCAAAACAAAAGCAAAAAAGAGACAAGAGCACCAACATCGGGTTCAAACGGCGGTTTCTCCATACCCGCCTCCAATCTCTTCCAGTTTATGTGCCTGAATATCGGCTGCACGCGTATGTCGCTGGCGTTCACTCGCTTGTTTATATCTTTCTCTAACAACTGCCACGTGGTTAAGTAGTTATGATGATGATGTTGACGATTGTGATGATGACGTAGGCGTTGATGGTGGAGGTGATGATGATGATTGAATGTGAATGCTCAAAGACGAAGTTGACGGAGATGGAAGGTAGGTGAATGCGAGGGCTGGAAATGTCGAGAGTGATGAAGAGGATTCAAAGTTTTTAAGATCATCACCCTCACAAACAACAACATCATCAGCATCACCATCATCATCATCGTCATCGTAACCAACTTTAGAGCAACAGAGTTTATAATCAGCGGAGAACTTATTAGAATAGATCTCTCTCTCTTCTCTCACTCTCCTATCGACCTCCTCTCTCTTCACTTTCTCTTTATATCCTCGGAATGGTGACTGTGTGACGATGATGTGACGATGTTGATGATGACGTTGATGATGACGATCGCTTAATAATAATAATAATAATTTCTGTCATCCACCTTTCCTTCGATCATTTCGTAAAGCAAACATCCGAAGCTCCACCAATCAGGCGAGTAGCTGTACCTCTCATTGTTCAAGATTTCAGGAGCTGTGTGCGTATGTATGTGTGTGTGTGTGTGTGTGCGTGTGTGTGTACATGTGTGCGTGCGTGAGTGAGTCCTAATCATCATCATTATCGTCCTCAACCTCCTCCTAACCCATGTATCCGACAGTTCCAACACGACCCTTGATCGTCTCCCCCACTGGAATCTCAACAGCCAGTCCCAGATCAGATATTCGCACGTGACCTGCATCGTCCAATAAGATATTCTCTGGTTTAAGGTCCCTGAATGTAATTGGTCGTTGGTCATTATAAGTCGAATTTTCATTGGTCAAATTTTATAGTTGAACGTTCCGTGATTGGTCGGATTGTATTTACATTAATATACATTAAAATATAAAATGACATGTTGAAAACGTATCATTGTTTGAACATTAAACAAATGAATGACACAACAACCTGAAAACATATACGTACACAACAACAACAACAACAACAAATAACAACAACAACAACAACAACAACAACAGACTTACCTATATACAATATTCTCCGAGTGAAGATGCTGCAGCCCACAGGCGATCTCCGCGGCGTAGAAAACAGCCCTCGGTTCCTCCAAGCCGGGACTGCCCATGTTGTGGATGTGAAACTTGAGGTCCCCGCCGTTCATCAGGGTCAGAATCAGGCAGAGGGCCTCCTTCGTCTCGAACGCATAAGCCAGGCTGACCTGCGGTTGTGAGCGGTTGAAACTTTAACTTAATTACCTGATCGATTGACTGATCGATCGTTCGTTTGTTTGTCTGTGTGTTTCATTGTTTTGATGGTTGCTTAGCTGACTGATAGATTGATTGGTTAGTTAGTTAGTCAGTTGGCTAGTCGGTTGACTGGCTGGTTAAATGGTTGGTTGGTTGATTGATTGACACACACACTCACGAATACACACAGACAAACAAGCAAACACCAGAAGAAACTAACAATAAACTTGGAATTAATCTTCTGGAGAATCTGCTTCTCATTGATAGCCATCACCTCGCCCTTCCGCTTCTTGATCCTCTTCTTCTCCAGCCTCTTACACGCATACATCTTCCCGGTCGATCGCACCTGTTCTCGTCATTTCGTTATCATCTCATCATTTTATTATCTTATGTTAATATATTATTATACTAGGTTATTATTATTATTATTATGAATAGACAGCCAGCCAAGCAGCAAACCAACCTGGCAAGCACAAACTTCACCGAAACCACCCTTGCCAAGAACTCTGTACATCCTGAATGTATGCTTCGTCACTGGTTGCCTGCGTAGATTAGCATAAATTAACATTAATTTGAATACATTAATATTAATATAGCACTAATCATGAGTATGATGAACAGTAAGAGCAATGATAATGACAAGAGCAACCTTTCGATCCACTTCCACTGCAGGTACCTTTTGAAGTACATGCTCTCCAGGAACAAACTGAACGGCTCGTCTGACAAGTAAGATTTGGCGCACCTGATGATGATGTTGTTGGTGCTGGTGATGATGATGTTGTTGGTGCTGGTGATGATGATGTTGTTGGTGCTGGTGATGATGATGGTGACGACGCTGATGAAGTATGATGATGACGATGTAATCATGAACCTCAATGAGCAGTAGCCACCATCATCATCAATTTTTTCGTCATCATCACCATCATCATCATCAGCAGCAGCAGTAGCATCATCATCATAACTGACTCCATGCAGGAAGTGAAGAGGTCTCGGTTGGAGGAATCATCCTCCATCTTCTGCATGCATGTCGTCATCTTCGAGTCGTTTATTATGGAGTCGAATAGGGAGGACTGAATGAATGAATGAATGAATGAATGAATGAATGAATAAATAAACGAACGAATGAAAGACAAAATGAAGAAGTGGATAAATAAAGAAATGAACGATCGAGAAAATGAAATACAGTGTAATGTCAGAATATTAATTTACTCATTTACTTTCCTTCAATAACTTTCTTTCTTTAACTCTCTCTCTCTCTCTCTCTCTCTCTCTCAATTTTTCCCTCATTCTCCCTCCCTCTTTCTTTCTGTTTCTCTCTCCTATCTTCTATCTCTCCGTTTTTATTCTTCTTACACACGTTTAAAAGCTCCACTTTCATTTTTCTCTATAATGCATCCACACGAACATCAAAGCCGAGCCGGGAATGAAATGCTGTTAAACTTCCGCTAAGTGAACTTGCCACACAACAACACAACAACTAACCACACAACAACACAACTAACGATAAAACAACACTGCAACAACAACAACAACACAGCAACAACAATGCCTTTGTATACATGCGTGTCGAAAACACAAGAGAAAAATAAGTTGGCGAGTTCGTTGGCTTTATATGGCTGCCGACAGCAAATCAAAATGTGTAGGTATTTACGAAAAAATGCAGCCACAAACACAAATACAACAATGGTGTATGGTGGATTGAACATACAAACATACAGGACATACAAACATGCAGAACATACAGGACATACAAACATATAGAACATACAAAACAAATACTCAAATACAAACATCTGCATACAAAAAAAAACATCAACACATTCAGAAATCATACCAAACGAGAAGTATATACAACAGGTAAATTACATTTTTGTATTAATATATATTTATATAATATATATATATATATATTTATATATGTCATATATCACATATGATATATATACCATATGTATGTATCATATAGATCAATATATAATTGTATGCATGTATGTATGTTTGTATAGAGGTTGGTCGGTGGAAGGAAATTAAAGTGATAAGGAAATAATTGATAAATGACGTCACCATCACACATGTTTGAAGGCGTTAATGGAAATTGAAATGTATAGATGGATGGATGAAACGGATGGGCTGACGGATGAATAGATGGATGGTTGGAAAATGGATAGGTAGGTGGGTGAATAAATGGATGCATAAAACGGATAAACTGGATGAATGGATGGGTAGACGTAAAAACAAATGATTGGATGGGTAGATTAATCGATGGATGGATGAATGAATGAAAGAATGAATGAATGAATGAATGAATGAATGAAAGAATGAATGAATGAATGAATGAATGAATGAATGAATGAATGAATGAATGAATGAATGAATGAATGAATGAATGAATGAATGAAAGTCAGGTAATATAAGCCAGGTAAGGAATCATCCATCCAACACAGGTATTTGTCACATCATATGCAATGATGTGACACGGTTGGTTATGGTGATCAGGTAGGTATATGGCGGTGTAATATTATGTCTGAAGCACGTGTGGTGATAGTGGGTCTTCTTATAGATCACCACGCAGGCGCCCTTTGCGTTATAAGCTGACGAAATTTAAATCTAAAATAGATAAAATCACAATAAACTATTCCATAATAAAATCATCATCGTTATATTTATCATGGCCACCGCAGTCGTCATCATAATGACCACCACAATCATCACCATCGTCGTCGTCATCATCATCATCGTCCTCACTTGCGATATAAAGTACTTCTCTTTGATATCCACAGACATCCTCTTGCGCTCTTCGTCCAACGAAACCTCATACTTCGTCTTTAATTATGATTCATTTTATTATTATTATCATAATAAAAATATATATTATAATAATAACATGCTATCTTGATCAAAAAATAACATTAACAACACATTAAGTTAGCTCAGATGGTAGAAGCGCCATGTCTAGCGATGTTGTTATAGCGCGTTGCTAGCAGGTTCGAACGCTGACGGCGCAAATAGCAGCATGTACAACATCAACATTAGCAACAACATCAGCAACATTATCAGCAGCAACAACTTACAACTTACGGTTGTTGACAACTTACGGCATCATCGAGGAAATCGAGGGCGCATTTGAGGTGTGGTTGGTTGTTGCAAAACATTTTGAACAGCTCCCTTCCTATTGGCTGCTGCTCAACTATGTACTTGTATGTCGGGGCTGTTGTCGTTGATGTGTGCGTGTGTGTGTATGTATGTGTGCGTGCGTGTGTATGTAAGCGTCATGTTTTAAGATCTGTTATGTTTTAAATAATTTTGTTAGAAAGAAATAATTTTTGTACAGAAACATCTTGCAGACCTGAACAACCTCACAACAACATCATATTGAACTGGCCAGTATCACACGTCGTCGTCGTCGTGTAACAAAAAAAACATTAACAGAGAGACAGACAGACAGAGAGACAAACAAACAGACAGAGAGAGAGAGAGAAAAAAAAGGGGAAGAGAAATAAAATTGAGAAACAGAGGATAGAAGGACAGGCAGTCCGATAAAACGCCATATACTTAAATTAACCAATTAATGATTTAAGTAATAGTGAGAGGTTTAGTAACATTAATTACTTCTAACAGCCTCATCATTACGAAAAAGAAAGAGAAGAGAAGCGAGAGAAGGGGAAAAAAGAAAGGAGAGAGAGAGAGAGAGAGAGAGAGAGATAGAGAGAGTAAAAAAACTAGCATTGCATTAAATAAAATCACATTAAACTTCATTAAACTACAGAGCTAAAAATGTAATTATGCAACCATGCAACACTGCAATCTATTTATTGCTTATAATAAGTACATTGGCATTCACACAAATGAAAATAATAAAATCATTATCATTATTATTATTATTGTTGTTGTTGTTATAATTATCATTATTATTAACTATAAATAAGGAGAACATTTTTTTTATTCACTCTACTCACCTAATCATTAAACAATTCAATCATCCATGGATATATTCAATAAATCCTTCATCCATCCATCCATCTGTTCATTCATTCATCTGTTCATTCATTCATTCATTCATTCATCCATTCACTCATTCATTCATCCATCTATCGCTCTATCCAGGCATATTTCCCTGTAGAAAAATTAAACTAATGAAAAACATTGCACTAAATGAAGCCATGTATGTTATTTTAGTTATCACCATCGTCATCATGTCGTCGTTGTCATCACTATTGTTGTTGTCAGTCATTCTAGACACAATCAATTATTTTTTTTTATACAAAAAACTCTAATTAATAAAGTTTCTAATTTTCTAACTGCCAATTTTATTATTATTATAACTACAACTACTACTACTACTTCTATTATTATTATTATTTTACCATCTGTACATTTTATCATAAGATGATGATTGATGAAATTCTAAATTAAAAATGTACACATGTACATAAGTGTCAAATATATATGGGTATGTGTGCATGTACGTGTATGTGTGTGTGTGTATATATATTTATGAGTTTGTCTGTCTGTGTTTGTGTGTGTGTGTGCGTGCGTAGGTTCCCTCTGTTTTTTTTCTTTAATGTACATAAAAAACCATTATAATTACTTCCTAAAACTTTCTCTCTCCTTTCCTCACTGTCTCTTTCCGTACACATACATGCATATATTATATGTATTTATATATAATTTTAATATTTAAAATAATAAACATTTATAACACTAACTTTCATGATATAATGTACAATTCTCTTGAAAAACTAATGCTTGTGTAATGAATGAATTATTATCTGATCATGACAGAATAGACATACAAATTTCTCTTTTTACAATTTGATGTAACATTATATATATATATATATATATATAATCAAAATAAGTTTTAAATAAATGATTTTTAATAATTTAGAATTAAAAACTATAGCCAACTTAACTTACTGATGCTATCTTTGACAGATGCACAAACAGAAATGTGTGGAAATGAAAGTAGCTGCTTCCATTTTTTGCTCCTACCTTTCCTTTTACTGCAGGCTCCGGCTGAATCCAATTTTAATTCGTGGAAATATTTATAATTAATGATAAATTGATTAATCAAATTATTGAAATGATAATAAATTAATTTTTAAAAATTTAAAAAGGAGATAAGAAATTAAAAATGATTCACTGGCTTGCCATTTGGAATAAAATAAAATAAAATAAATTACGATCACCTTCTCTCGCCTTCAAATAAACCGTGTTAGCAACTATATTTTCCAACTCCATTAAAAGTCGAATACAATTTAAAATTATTAAAACATTAAAATAAAATAGTAAAAAACAAATTAAAACACTAAATAAATAAATGTTTAAATTCCTTTATTGAAATAAGAACGATGTTTGCTGTTTGTTTTGCAGGTGCACGAAGTTATATTTATTTTAAAGTACCTTTTAACTTGAACATGTTTTATTCAAAATATATTGTTTTATTGTTATAAAACTATAATAAAACTAAGCATTTCCATTAAATATGGTTCGAATTTAATAAAATTGTTGTGTTTTTGTAGCTATTTTCAATAAAATTCAGATAGACATCAGCAGTAAGAGTTTGTTTTAATTAAAGTATAAGTTCACTATGCTAAACCATTGCTTGATCTAACAATGTTTCAATTAACAATTGTTTTACATATTCTTTGAATAAACTTAATTAAATTAAAAAATTTAAATTTGTATAGCTGTATATCAAGTGAACAAATCAGAATTATGATAACTTCTCAATCCTAATTGAACATTCAACGCAATTTTCATTAGTGGCAGATAAGTCTATATCCTATAACAATATATATATATATATATATATATATATATATATATATATTATATATATTTGTTATATGTCTTAAATTTAAAAAATACGTAATTGTCGTGATCGTTACCTTCTATAAATAAAACTTGAACATCTCGGTATTTTTTAGTAAATAATTTGTTATATCTTAATTCAAACAACTAAAAATTACAAAAATTTATTTTCAAAGTTGTATTTTAACTCTAAAAAAGCTTTTTATTTTATAGCTTTTTTAATATAACAGCTCATCACTGTTTTGGTATAGATTTGCTTTTAAATTTACAGGTAATTTACACCTGAAGTGTTTATTATTAAAATGGCTTCGAAGAGTAACTTACGGAAAGATGTAAAATAGTTTTATTCACTTGCAATTTATTATTATTTAATTATGATTTACATATAATTATTTATTATTTAATTATGATTTACATATAATTATTTATTATTTAATTATGATTTACATATAATTATTTATTATTTAATTATGATTTACATATAATAACGCAATGGTTTTTAAAATTTTTACATAATTTTGAGAAAATTTACTTTTACTTCCAACCCAACAAACCAAAAATTTTCAATCATAATTTTATTTTTATTTTTTTGACAATTCTTATCCATCACCGTCAAGAAATTGAAATCATATTTTAATGTTGATGAATTTAAATGAAACTATTAGCTATTTAATTAATTTATCGATTTGTTTATGACTAATTTGATCAACAAAATCACTAATAGGATCCAAAATCGGACATCTATCGTTATGCAATCCAGCCCCAGCTATCAAATGACGGATTGGCAAGTGATGGAAAACCGATTAGGAAAAAGAAAAAGTTGAAAAAAATTCAAAAAGAGGATTTTGAGAATATAAGAGTTGAAATGAACATGGTTTGTTTATTATAAGCTATTGTTGCCAATTTATTAATTAATTAATATTTCAATTAATTTATAAATATTTACGGAATATTTATAAAATTCACTAATAAGGTGGAGCACAAATGTTCCCTGCAAGAACTGGCAGATAGATTGGGCGTCAACTTTGAAACAGTTTGTTGTGACGAAGAATTTTGAAAATAAAATTACTGCTAAATTTATTTTTAAAATAAAATCAGTCAATCTAACCAATCATAATATCACCTAAAAAAATCATTATCACAAGCAAACTGACATGTTAAAAATTGTCAAATTAGGGTATCAGTCAGGACCGAGCCAAATACACGCTGGAAAGAGATGGTCCCAACGAGTTGAGTCCCCCGCGTACGACTCCGGAGTGGGTTAAATTTAGCAAACATTTGTTTAGTGGATTCTCCATTTTGTTGTGGACAGCAGCCATCTTGTCGTTTATCGTTTTTTCCGTTGAATCGGCCACTCAGGAAATTCCGGCGCCAGAAGATGTGCGTAGTTTTTGTATGTTATGTTAATAAGTTTATTCTATGTTACCGTGCCCTATGTTATTTGCAAATAAGAGCAACAACATCATCACTTTCATCATCATCTTCATCATCATCGTCATCCTTACTTTCATCCTCACTTCAGTTGTACTTGGGTTTTGTGTTAGTTGGCATCATCATCGTCAATGGCGCCTTCTCTTATTATATGGAAGTGAAGAGTTCATACATCGTCGAATCATTCAAAGATTTGGCCCCACAAGTAGGGATGTGCTGAATTTGTAGGGATGTGCTGCTACTGCTGATGACGATGATGATAATGGTGATTATTATAATTGTGATAATAATATAACGCCCCGCATAGTTTGCAACGGTGTACAGGAAAGGAGAGAAGATGAACGTGCACGCTGAAGAGTTGGTGGTCGGTGACATCGTCGAAGTGAAGCCTGGAGATCGCATTCCCGCTGACCTCAGGTTGATCATTACCAGGGGCTTCAAGGTCTGCCATTATCATCATCATCTTCGTCGCATCATTATCATCACCATCAATATCGGTATCTTCTTAGCCGTCGTCATCATCTACACCATTGCCAATATCTTCTCCTTCTTCATCATCATCATCTTCTTCATCATCATCATCTTCTTCAGCATCTTCAGCATCATGATCATCGTCTTCATCACCATCATCTTCACCAGGTAGACAATTCAGCACTGACAGGGGAATCGGAGCCGAAAGTGCGAACAGCTGATTACACTAATGAAAACCCACTGGAAACGAGAAATCTCGTCTTCTATTCAACGACTGTCGTTGAAGGTGGGTCGTTGTTGATGATGACGATGTTGTTGCTGGTGGTGCTATGAGGTTGTTATGATGTTGTTATGAGGCAGCCCTTTTCACCGTTCAAAGATTTCCTCTTTTAAAACATTGCAGGCATGGCTCGTGGTGTTGTGATAGCGACAGGTGACCGAACCGTGATGGGCCGAATAGCGAATATGTCGGCTCGCATGGAGCTAGGTTCTGAATCGTTGCTCAGTCAAGAGTTGCAGTACTTGATTCTCATTTTGTCGATAATCGGTGGCTCTCTGTCTCTTCTCTTCTTTTTCATCGCTCTTATTGATCAGTTCTTCTGGATCGATGCACTCAGATTCCTGGTCGGTATCATCATCGCCTGCGTTCCTGAAGGGTTGCTGCCCACTATAACGGTTCGTTGCCGGTTGGTCTGTCGGTCGGTCGGTTGGTCGGTCGGTCGGTTAATTGATTGGTTGTTATCATTTTATTATCTTCATTCCATCACCTGCCAACACACACACCCGAAACAGATGTGTCTAGCCATCTCGTCCATGAAAATGTCCTACAAAAACTGCATGGTCAGAAACTTGGAAGCCATCGAAACGTTGGGCTCAACCTCTGTTATATGCTCAGACAAGAGTGGAACTCTCACACAAAATAAGATGAAGGTGTCGAGAATGTGGTTCGACAATCAGATATTTAATGCTGATTTCTCCCTTAACCAAGAAAGTGCGTCTGTGTGTATCTGTGTGTATCTGTATGTGTCTGTGTGTGCATGCATGTGTCAGCGTGCATGTGTGTTTACGTTTGTTTGTTTTCTTTTATTTACTTTTTTGGACTTTTCATATTTTTTTCTAATTTTTCTGACAATTTTGTTTCTCCTCCGTCAACGAAGACGCCGAGTACAGTCGAACGATGCCCAGTTGGATGGCCCTGGCCAGGGCTGCCATGCTCTGCAACAGGGCTGAGTTTGTGAACCCCATGGATAACACCGACCCGATGAAACGGTTTCTTCTTTGTACCTTTGAAATTTCAAAATTTCATTCCATTAGTATTCTTTTTAATCTAGACGTTTGTAAACTCAGTATTATTTATTTATTCAGTTGTTTTATTCATTCATTCATTCACTCACTCATTCATTCACTCATTCATTCACTTCTTCATTCCACTGTCCCCAATAACACTCAGGCCGTGTTCCGGAGACCCACTGGAGGTGGCCATCTTGAGATTTTTGGAGTGCAGCATCGGAAACACGTACGACTTCCGGACGAGGAACAGGAAAGTTTGTGAGATCGCCTTCAACAAAACCATCAAGTATCAGGTTCGTTGCTGGGGGAGATTATTTTATACTGCATGTTAATAAGACAGAGATAGAGAGAGAGAGAGAGAGAGAGAAAGTGAAAGTAAAAGAGAGAAAGATATTTGCATACTTTAACTTTATATTATTAATAATCCTTCAAATAATTTTATTTAATAATTTAAATACTTTGACTAAAATTGCATGAAAATAATTTTTTCGTATATTTAACCTTTAAAAAAATTGTGAAAAAATGTAATAAATGAGCGAAACTAATGAAATGATGTCGAAAGGATGTATATTAAGGGTATTATATAAAGGATAGGTGAATGTTTGTATAATGATAAGGTTTCCATTCACGAAATGGACGACGCGAAAGACCCCCGCTACCTCTTGGTGATGACCGGTGCCCCGGAGCGAGTGTTCGACCGCTGCTCAACCATTCTGGTGAACGGCGCCGAGCAAAGAATCAATTCCACGTGGCGGCTGGCCTTCCACAACTCGTTCCTCGCTCTTGGAGAGTTGGGCGAAAGTGTCATCGGGGTCGTTGATTCTCGCTTGCCACTGGAACAATATCCAATCAATTATCAGTTCGATCCGGACGCGGAGAACTTTCCACAAACTGGATTGAGATTTTTGGGATTGATAACAACTGTCGATCCACCGAAAGCATCCGTGCCCTCTGCTGTAGCCAAATGCAAAAGTGCTGGAGTTAAGGCTGGTAGTTGGATACATTTCTGGATGATCTAATTGTTATTTTTGACGTTTCGTACACTACAAAATGTTTCTGACATACTTATAAATGAATAATTTTTTCAACGTCCCACAGGTTATAATGATAACAGGCGACCATCCAATCACAGCGAAGGCAATTGCGAAGGGAATGGGAATCATTTCAGAACGCAGTGAATGTGCTGATGACATTGCTGCCAGGCTTAACATCCCCATCACTGAAGTCAATCCTAGGTTGTTATGATTGTGATGTTGTTGGGGTTGTTTTGATGATGATGATTATTATGATGATGACGACGACGACGATGACGATCACCACAGAGATGCCCAGGCATGCGTGATTCATGGCTCTGACTTGAGGGACTTAACATTCACCCAACTCCAAAACATCCTGTACAACTACGACGAACTCGTGTTCGCCCGCACCAACCCTCACCAGAAACTGATCATCGTGGAGGCCTGCCAGAAGCAAGGGAACGTCGTCGCAGTTACTGGCGATGGTGTCAACGATACACCGGCTCTTAAAAAAGCCGATATCGGTCCGTGTCTATGGATATCCATGTTTTACACATAACGGTTTTTTAGAAAACTGGTATTTCACAAATATCAGATTTTTTTCGAGAGGTGTCTGGTTGTTTAATCACCGAATTTAATAAAAATATTGAAATGAACTGTTAACAGGAATAGCAATGGGTTTGCAAGGCAGTGACGTCAGCAAGCAATCCGCTGACGTCATTCTACTCGACGACAACTTTGCATCGATCGTCTTCGGCATCGAAGAAGGTAGTCTCGTTTGAAAACTCATTCATACAACTAACCAACCACACAATCAATCATTTATTCATCTGTGCGGAACATCATATCACTCACTCACTCACTCGCTCACTCAAAATCACCACCAACGAACACCAACAACCCCCCACTCAGGTCGCATATCATTCGACAACATCAAGAAGACTGTCCTCTTCACGCTGACGAGCAACATCGCAGAAATTGCAGCCTTCCTCCTCTTCATCATCGCTCGAATCCCACTTCCGCTGGGAGCTCTGACGATCTTGGTCATCGACCTCGGCACGAATTTGATCCCCGGAATGAGTCTAGCGTTTGAGAGGGAGGAGTTCAACGCGGAGGTCATGAACCGGCCGCCCAGAGATGTTAAAACCCAAAAGATACTCTCCAGGCAGTTAGTTTGCACGGTGATGTTCCTTCCTGGCGAGGGTGATGATGATGAAGAGGATGATGTCGGCGATGCCGATTACGAGATGATGATAGCTAGATGTACACGTACACACATACAAACACACACACACACCTATACACGCAAGCTAACAAATACACACACAATCATACGCACACATAACAGAATGTTAAGCTTGGCGTTTGGTCAGTTAGGCCTCATAGAAATGGCCGGTGCTTTCTTCATGTACTTCGCCATTATGGCTGAAAGTGGTTTCTGGCCAGCGAGGTGGTTTTTTATTTTGTTATTGTTAATTTAATTAATTATTATTAATTAAAATTATGCGAGAACGCGTGTGAATTAATGCATCGTTCACGTTGTTCATGGTTTAGGGGGAGGGAGGGAGGGAGATCTCATTGCATTTCCTTTTCGCTGTTTGTTGCATTATCTTTGCCGTTAAAATGAATATCCCAAATAAATAAATAAATAAAAATAATAATAATTATTATTATTATTTTTATAGATTGCTTGGTTTGCGAGATGTTTGGCTCATGAGAGGAATCAACGACGTTGAAGATGCTTACGGGCAGGAGTGGGTCAGTTCTAATGATGACCACACAATAACAATAATAATATTATAACTATAATTTATAATGATTTATTATAATTCAATTATTCAGTCGTGGGGGCACAGAATGGTGCTGATGTACACGTGCCAGACGGCATTCTTCGCGGCCCTGGTCATCCAACAGTGGGCTACCGTCATCGTCTGTAGAGCCAGGAAATCTTGCTCCTCCTGGCAAAAACCGTTCGTACATTTTATTATTATTAATTATCATTATTATATTATCAATTATTATATTATTAATTATTTATATTCAGAAATGCAGTTTTAAACATAAGCTTGTTCTTCAACACGTTCCTCCTCTTGTTCTTCATATACTGTCCCGGCCTGGACAGAGGAATAAGGATGTATCCGCTGAGGTGGGTGGGATCTATAAATTATAATTACAGTTATAATTATCATAATTATTATCATAATTATTATCATAATTAAAGGTGGAGTTGGTTGTTCGCGCCCATACAGTTCATGATCCTTATATTCGTCTACGATGAGTTCAGGAAGTTGATAATTTACTATTCTCCCGGGTTATTTATCGAACACGAAACATTGTACTAATTTGAGAGACATATTATTATTATTATTATTAGTTATTATATTTTGTATTTTTCGTCTAACTATTCGTCATTTCTTATCATTGTCATGTCACTGACGATACAAACACACACACACACACACACACACATATATATATATATATATACACATATATACACACACATATATATACACACACATTATTTAACATTGACTTGATTTTTAAATGTACAATAATTAATTTTTTATTCTTTTCTGTGTCAGAGTACAAATAAGAGTTTAGATTCAATTGTGATGTGTGTGTGTGTGTGTGTGGTGTGTGTGTGTGTGTGTGTGTGTATGCGCGCGTGTGTGTGTTTATTGCACAAAGTATTGAAAAATCCTCCCCCAAAGCAATTAATCAGCCGACATTGCTTTCATTAAAACAGCATCGAATTTTTCAATGCTATTCAATAGTTAAAGATAACAAAAGCCCTAATAACAATAATATATAATAGTATAATATAATAACAATTAGAACCATAAGAACAACAATAATCATAACAATAGCAACAAGAACCATAAGAACAACAATGATCATAACAATAACAATGATAACCATAAGAACAACAATGATTTAACATAAGTGGTTTCGCAATATGACCGTAAACGGTAATAACAATAAATCAATTAGTAGAAAAGACAACTTTTATGCAGACGTACACACACACACACGTACACACACACACACACACGCATATGTACATACACGCACATACGTACGTACGTACTTATTGCGTAGTGATGCTTGGAAGATGGCAAAGCAGCAGGGAGAAAAGCTGTGTGTATAAGTGAGTGTGTGTGTATTTGTGCGCGTATACGCAGTGTATGAAGATGCTAAGCTCTGTTTGCATACGACATGTATGTATGTATGTATGTATGTATGTATGTATGTATGAATGTATGTATGTATGTATGTATGTATGTATGTATGTATGTATGTATGTATGTATGTATGTATGTATGTATGTATGCATGTATGTACGTATGTATGTATGTATTTAATGTATGGATGTATGTATGGATGTATGTATGGATGTATATAAACAAGTTTTTCAATATGTTTTGTTGTGTAGTGGCATCAGTTTTAGATATTTCTAATTCGAGTTTTAAAAAAATATTTAAAGTTGAATTGGTTGTTGGAATGAATAACTCACGGCGCGTCATACAAACTCACTCCTGGATATCTTTTGTATCAAAATAAAAAAATAGAGCGTAAAAATAAAGATGCAATATGGTGCATTAATACGAATGCTCCAATATGTACGTACAGTAACAGGCATACAATCCAGAACGTATTAAATTCATAAGAATAAACACACACACGTACGCACGCACATATCGTATAGACAGTTGTACATACGACATCCAACTAAAATAACATTACGATATTTCTGCATTATTTGTACACAGTTCTGTGCACTGAAGCGTACACAACTTTTAATGTACACTTAACCTTTTGTATCTCGTGCTGAACACTTTGGGAATAAAGGACGAAAGAAAGAATAAATAACCAAAAAGATAGAAGGAAGAATTGAAGAAAAATAAAAGAATTAAAATGCTTCAGTCAATCGGATATACCATTTGCAACGTCATCGCCAGCAACTTCGTCATGGCGGCAGTCACCAACTTCCTACTCGTCACCTCCACAACGACGGAACCAGTCAAGAAACTCTACTTAGCGAAGGATGCATACGGGAAAGTTTCGTGCAACATCGTGGCACCCAGGTTCGACCCCAGCATGATCTACTGGACGAAAGACGAGAGGATCATCAACGAAAGTCGGTCCCTGGTAGTGCACAACGGCAACCTGTACTTCAGAACGGTTGGTGATGACGACAGAGGAGTGTACACCTGTAGGCCCTTCAAGCAGACTGACTCTTCCATCCAGCCCTACAGCGTTCTCGTGATTGTTAAAGGTTTCGAATTAAATTTTCACATTATAAAATATTGTGTCCAATAAAATGTTGATTAATTAATGTACATTTGGATGAACGAATGGAAGAACGGACGGATGAATAAGTTGTTGCGAAACATTGGAATCAAGTAACGTATATTTTTTGTGGCCCTCTTACAAACCGATATAATTTTGACAATCTCAAAACTACAACGAAAATTACCGTTTGTTTTTATAGCGACAAGTCCCGAAAGTGTGAATAGATTGAAGGACATTTTCATTATTAAAAATTTCATCAGAAACCTGCTGGATTTATCGTGAAAGATATCAAATGTTTTTAAATTCTGAAAAACATACAAACTAACGAAAGAACGAACGAACGAACGAACGAACGAACAAAAAATGAAAATATTCTTGCAGATCCAGCTCATTTCGTTGTCCGACCCCGACCTGTCTACCAACGACACGCCAACCAATCTGTGACCATGCCTTGTGTGGCTGCTGGCGATCCGCCTCCTACTATTTTTTGGAAGAAGGTTTTCGTTGTCCAATTAGTTTGATCAAAGTTTAAAACAAATCAAAATTTTTTTAAAGTTTTTTTATTGAATTAGTTTCAAGTCAATTGCAAGCAGGAATGTTCGAAGAGAATCTTATCAAGCTTCCTCAATGACTTAATCAACAGACTTACATGTCTAACTAATTTCCAATCTATAGTTCCTCCAACAATCAGCTGTTTATTTAACTTACTTCTTTCTTCCTCGTGCCTTATCCTCTCGGGACATTGGCGACCATCGACCTCCACAAAACCCGATCTAAAATACTTTGTAAGAGTTGAAATGCGGTGATATTCAACAAGTGACACAAGGACTTTACGAGTGTTGTTCGTTGTTGACCGCGACCTATTTTTCTTGCAATCTTTCCAGTAATTCTTAGATTTTCCATTCTTCTCTTCCGCATGATGTGACCAAAAAACTTTAACTGCCACCGTCGGATTATTTGTAGCAATTTCCTCTTTTAATAACCGGACTGTTTTAATACAATTTAACTAACCTATTAAATTGCAGGTGGGCGGAGACTTGCCGGTCAAGACTAAAACCTTATTGGACGCCAGCAACTTAACAATTGTTCAGCTATCTAAAGAAGACCAGGGACAGTATGAATGTATCGCCAATAATTCGGTCGCTAAAGTTATCAGCACAACACTGCTTGTAATCGAAAGTGGAGTTTTATTTTTAGAAATTGAAAATTTCCTTAATTAATGATAATTGTTTATAATTTATTTGGATTTTTCATTCATAAACGTCATTTTTTATAAATAAACCGGGCCTTCTCAACACCAACACAGACTAACGCTAACAACTCAAAAACATTAATAATAATAATAATAAAATATTGTAATAGTTGAAAAATATAACACAGCAACGTCACATCACCAGCCTTACAACTTGACGGCTATGACGACGAACGACACGGCGCGCATCTGCTGGCTGCCTGCGTATGACCATGGGCATCCACAACATTACGTCCTATGGTACTCTATTCTATTGTATTTTATTGAGTTTTGTTGTATTGTATTGTATTGTATTGTATTGTATTTTATTCTACTGTATTGTTTGTCGTATTGTTTGTTGTTTTTATTGTATGTTGCCGTACTTTTATCTTATGTGGTTATGTTTTGTATTGTATTTCGTCGCATTTTCATTATATTTCTCAATGTTTCTGTTGTATTGTATTAAATTTTCGCGCTTACACGCATAGACAGACATACAACGCGCATACAACGCGCATACAATGAGCATACGAACCAACCACCAGGTACAAACAGACGAACGAGCGTGACACAGAACCCTGGTCCACGCTGCACATATACCCAGATGATGTGCTCTGCGTTACGCTGTACGACCTGACGCCCGCCACTTCATATCAGTTCATGGTCTTAGCGAGGAATAAATTAGGAGATGGATTGTTTAGCCATATTGTATATGCTTCGACTGTTGGTATGTGTGTGTCTGTGTGTGTGTGAGTCTGGGTGTGTGTGTGTGTGTGTGTGTGTGCATGTGTGTGTGTGTGGGTATGTGTGTGTGTGTGTGTTGGTACACATGTGTTTACGTTTTTTTACTTTGTATGTTTTGTCTACAGTTCTAGTTTATTCATATCAATTAATAAATTATGTCCTAAAACGTTCCAAATTTGATTGGGTGATAACAAATATGATGGTGTTGGTGATGGAGATTATGAACATTTTTTTTAATTAAACACACACACACACATATACATATATACACATACACACACAGATACATATATACACACACACGCGCACACAAACACACAGAAACGCCAAAAACTTCAAAAGTTTCAAACGAAGACGACTTCTTATACGATGATCGCAGTGATGGAGACGAAGACGATGATGATCATCATCATGGAAGTGATGATGATGATGGTGATGATGACGAACCCGACGGCGGTGATGGTAATGATTACGAAGAATCCGGAATGTACCCCGGTCCTAGTCCGTTTAATATTTTCGAGAAAAACATCGGTTTGTAATTATGGCGGTCAGATCTTTCTATTATAAATATTATAATAATTTTCATTAGAATAATTATTCTATAATAATAATTAATTAAATTATGAAAAAAATTATAATTTTTTAAGGGGGAATGCGGCCCTTTCCTCCGCAAAACATATCGGTCATTCAGACGGATGTGGGACTGTACATCTCCTGGCTGCCCCCAATCACACCCGTCGATTACTATTCAGTTGAATACAGGACCATGGGTGCGTATTATGGTTCAGTAGTATTACTACTACTTCTACTACTACTGCTGCTGCTGCTGCTACTACTACTGCTGCTACTACTACTACTTGTTATTATTACTATTACTTCGTTGTTGTAATTAGTTAAAACAATAATTCAATAAAAATTCATCCTTTAAAATTTAAAAAGGCCCCTGGATGTTGCTACGGCCCAAAACCCGCAAAACGTACACAACGTTTAATACGGTATCGTTCGGTGCGATACATCACTTCCGAGTCTTCAGTCATTCCAGGTCGAATCTCATCAGCGAGCCCAGTCCAGAAGCTTCTATTGATGTTGAAAGTAAGGAGGAAAACTGTACGCGCCTACATAGCATATGAACTTTACATAAGCACACACATTCATAACAAACACACACACACACATAAACACACACACACATAAACACACACACAGACGCCATAATTGATGTTAACGGAACAACAACAACAGTAAAGAAGGTATCCATTTTATTCGGAATCGTATTCCTCATCTGCCTATTTCTCGGTTTTCTGTCCTTTCTCGTTAAGTCATGCTGCAGAAAATACCGAGATTCGTCAATTAGATACGGTCTGTCTATCGGTTAATAGACTCGCTAATAGCAATTAACATTTATTTATAAATCATTGCAGTTATTGAATTAATGTTCTTGCTACAATTGTCGTTGTTGTTTATTTGAATCATGGAAAAAGGGCTTATGGATTAAATGATAATTAGTTAATTAATTGACTAATTAATTAATTAATTATAGTTATAATAATAATGATCAGTATTATAATTAAAATTATTATTATTATTATTCTTATAGATAGTGTAAAGTATTTTGGTCCCAATCAGAATGAATCAACGTTGAGGTTGTCCTGCTTGCAACTTGCCCAATTATTCTTGTTTATAAAATTAATAAAGTTAAATACAAATAATGATAATTGTTATTATTAATTATTAATATAAATATGTGTTTAATTCTTTAAAATGCAGCTCTGTCAATTGCATACATGCTCGCATATTATTCTGTACTTGTTTAAAATTTCATGCTGTAAGGTGTCACAAAGGTTGTACCATCCACACGACAGGACTCACAGACACATTACGTACACACGCACAAAACAAGCACCACCGCATCATCGTACGCGTATGATGGTCTTTCAGCTTCGAATAGACCGCATTCGAACCATGCCATGGCGTAATAGCAGCGTGAGAGCTTCTACCGACTGAGCTAACTATTTATATCTTTATTATTTTCAGTAGTACACCACAGCCTATAAAACCGATATTTCAGCAGCAGCAGCTGATTTCCATTACCCCATCACCACAACATCAACAACAACTCCAACAACAACTCCAACAACAACATCAACAACAACATCAACAACAACAACAACATCAACAGCACTATCAATCTAGTCCATTGACTCCACCGCATTACGTAAAATCTGATGACGAACACGAAGGTTTTAGTGAACAGCATCAACTGCAACAACAACAACTGCAACAACAACAACTGCAACATCAACTAAAACAGCAACTACAACCAAATTATTCAAGCTTGACAAATAATGAGAGTAAATTTATACTTGAAACACCGATTTGAATTATGAAAACAGAGCTTATTGATGGATTCATTGGCTGAATGAATGAATGAATGAATGAATGAATGAATGAATGAATGAATGAGTGAATAAATGAATGAATGGATGGATGGATGGATGGATGGATAAATGAATGAATGAATGAATGAATGAATGAATGAATAAATGAATGAATAAATGAATGAATGAATTAATTAATTAATTAATTAATTAATTAATAAAAGGTTGAATGTTTCATTCATTCATTCGCTCTTTCGTTCGTTCGTTTGTTTAATGTCTTATTGATAAATTACTAACCGTATGAAAGACATTTTGAAATTTGTTTAAAAAAATTAAATTAATTTACAATTAAACATATTAAAATTAGTAACAAAACTTATGAAAAATACGTTTTTCGATACAATTTCAATTTCGTAGAGCTTAATTTCAATTCTTACTGATTTCAATCTTATCATTTCGTTTTTCTTTCATTCGTTTGTTATTGTTCATTGAAACACAAAGTAGATTGCAGAATTTTTAGTTTATAAAATAAAATAATTTTCATGAACCATTGTTATATTAAACTGGATTGATTGAGTGAAACGAATGAACGGAAGGAAAAATGTAATAAATGAATGAATGAAAGAAAGAAAGAAAGAAGAAATGAATGTCTAGGCGACGCTGCAAATTGTTAAATATCGTTCTATTGGTGGATGAAATTTTTTTTATTTCCAATTTATCGCTTTTTACTCTTTCTTTCTCTCGCTCTCTCACGCTTTCTCACTTTTTTCTCCTTCTTTCTTCTTCACTCCAACTCTCTCTCTCTCTCCTCTCTCTCTCTCTCTCTCTCTCTCTCTCTCTCTCTCTCTCTCTCTCTCTCTCTCTCTCTCTCTCTCTCTCTCTCTCTCTCTCTCTCTCTGTAGTAACAGCAATAGCAGCAGTAGCAACATATTTCATCCTTCATTCCTCTATTTTTTTCATACATTCTGATACTTTTTTTTCTATCGTTCAAGAATCAAAAACCAATTATATGTTGTTGCTAGTCGTTACAACCACAAAAAGATACATATTTAATAGAAGTAGATGAGAAAATATGAAAAACCAATTTGAATAATTTTCCTAAAACCCCAAATATATATTTATGGAAAGCCTCTGAGCGCGTTTCTCAGTGAAAAAGAATAAAAAGTGCGTTCAAATGACCATCAAATTAAATAGAAACTTAACAAAATCTCAAGTATTTATGGCTTTTAAAAGGTTCCCAGATGGTTTTTCACAAATTCAATGTTATGAAACTCAGAAGAATATGTTATATACATGCAGGCTTTTGTATGTATGTATGCATGCATGCATGAATATTGTGTGTATGATGTGTGTATATTGTATGTATCGGTGTTTATATGTAACGGTTTATGTGTGTGTTTGCTTTAATAAGTTTGCTTGTTGGTGCGATAGATTTGTACAAACACGCGAACATCTCTGTGGGTCGATGTCTCAATCTGCGAAGTTAATAAACATGAGCGAGAGATGAGAATGAATGCAAAATAAGATGGAAATTTCTGGAAATGTAGAAAGATGTCCCGAAAACATAATGCATCAACAGCAGAAGCAGCAGCAGAATGGGAAACAAATTGAAAAATATCACTTGACGCATGGGTCGCCCTACTTGCCGCCTCGATCAACTCAATCAAATGAATACACAATTTCAACGCATATACAAACACATATAAAACATGCTCTTATGTATGTACAGTACATACATACAAACTAACGTCGTACAGACAAACAAACATTCATACATACATACGAACATACATACATACATACGAACATCCATACATACATACACACATACATACATACATAAAAGTATTGATTTTAGGCAAAAATTTTACTTTGTTTTCAAATAAAGTTCAATCCGCAAAAAATACACATGTCAATATTCACAAAGAAACTTATTTTCAAAGGATTTTCGTTCACTTTCTTTTTTAAACAGACTCACGTAAATATACATTTTAAACTGTTTTATTTTAACCAATTCCTCGCCGAATGTTTTCACCCCATCTCTATTTGTAGCAATTATTTCAGCCCATCCCTATTTTAACCGACTGACAACAACAACGCATGTGACGTCATTAACTTTCGCTGATTTTTGTTCTTCGGCTGATTGTTTATTTAATTTAATAATTTTTAAAATCGTTGATAATTTTTTCAACAGGTTAATGAAGATCATGAATGCCAAGATGAAGATGATTGAGGAGGTCGTAATGATGATTATTTCGTACGTTGAGTTGTATGCTCGTGATTGGTGTGTTGTTGTCCTTTCGTTGTTGCTGTTAGTGATGTTGTTGGTCGTGTTACCGTTCAGTTTAATGTTTCGTTTCGTTATGTTGTTGTTGCTGGTGGAGTTGGTGGTGTTGCTAACGGAGTTGTTGCTCTTGTTGCTATATTTACTACCGTTTAATATCTTACCGCTGTTGAATTGTTCATAATTTTTGTAATCGTAAAGCGAATAGTTAGCTTTTGAAGGTTCCGATAGTTCGAAGAATGTGGGGTTTCTATTTTCTGGTGGTGACGAAATTTTACGTCTTTCATAAAATTTAACTCCAACCATCAGCCGAAGTTCACTGAACAACATTGGTTGGCCATGGTCCCAGCAAGTAATTAAGATGTTTAAAACAATCTTATTTGGCCCATCACTATTTTCACTAATCCCTAATTGCTTTCCAAACAATTTTTCATCACTTTTCGAACTCATTAACTTGAAATGTAAATTAACGTTGGTAAGTTCGAGAATGTATTTAAAAGCAGCGATTTCTTTTAAACGTACGTTGTTGTGGCTGTGGCTGGTGACGTTGCAGGCGACGTCACCGTTGTTGCTGCTGTCGTCATCAAGAACATCCACAATTGCGAGTTCGTGGTTGGTGCCTGTGGCTGGCAGTGGTGGTAGGGAGATGTTGATAGATGTGTGGGTGCTCTGAGTGCTTCTGCTGCTGATGTGGGCATCATTGTCGTTTGTTCTGCTGCCTGGTTCATCACCACCACCATCATCATTGTTGTCATCATCTCCACCATCATCAATATCACCACCACCATCGTCACCATCATCATTATCGTTGACGTCATCCTCACCTTCACCATCATCTTCATCAACAACAACAGCAGCAGCACCAACGTCTCCATCATTTTCACCATCATCATTGTTCTCAACTTCATCATCGTCAGCTGCACCCAACACATGCAGTGATATATGCGGAAAGTTATCGTTGGAATCTTGAACGAGGATGGATACCTGTGTGTATGCACTCAACGTCGGTACGCCGCAATCAGAGGCTTCGACCGTATAGTGATAGTATTTATCCGACTCGTAATCTAATACCGATTCGAGTAACACATCACCGTTCACCGCATCTATCGATATGATATTACTGTTAACGGTTCTCAGTGCATTGCCGATAATGTTTAAATGAAGTAACTTGTATGTGATGTTTGAGTTTACACCGTCGTCTAAATCGTAGGCCGATATTCGGCCGATTAGAGCACCGATTGTGGTGTTTTCAAGAACGTAGAATCGATAAGTATCGTTATAAAATACCGGCGGATTATCGTTGATATCCAAGATTCGAATCTCAACCTGTAGTGTTGATGATAGTCGAGGAGTTCCGTTGTCAGAGACGATAACTTCTAGATCGTATCTGTCGATCGTTTCTCTATCGAAATGTTTTGTTGTTGTTAAGTACAAGTTGTCGTCGCTCGTTGAGGATAAACTGAAGGGATGTGTCTGTGTAGAAGTTTTATTATTTGTACAATTATCTTCACGCGCTCTTTCAATAAAAGTCATATTTTTCGCAACTATTTCATTAAAAGCCGAATTTCGGGAAAAATTATCCTCACATGGTCGTGTTTTTAACGAGTACTTGAGGCGCGAATTTGAACCGACGTCGTCATCGTGTGCGGGAAGTAATTGAAACCGAGTGCTGGGCGGTGTCGATTCTGCCATCTCTATTTTAATCGAGTGCTCTTTGAATGTCGGTATATTGTCGTTTATATCTAATATTTCAATGAAAATTTCAAATTTTTTGTGAGAGGACTTTTTTTCTCTGAATATAAACTCAGCTGATACTATTTTTATTAGACAGATTTGGTTGTTGTTGTTAATGATGATGTCGTAAATGCTGATGTTGTTGTTTAGTTTGATGTTATTGGTTACAAAACTCGTGTTTTCCAGCTTATCATGGTCGTTTACAAATTCAGGACCATCAAGAAAATAATTGTAATATTTATCATCGGTATAAGCATTTAAACCGTTCCAACCGCTTCCATCTCCACAGATGGATTCTCGGTCGATAATTCGATTAGTAACTAACAAACCGCTACTCGGATCGACCTGAAACAAATCGTTCGGTAATTTTTGTAACTCGATAAAATTCTCATCAACTAAGTAAGTTTTGAGTAAAAAATATTGCACCGCAGTTTCACTCACGGAATATTTTTTCAGGTTGATTTTATTTTGAGGATTGATGTGATGTCCACGTCGGTATCCGTATTTATCCGTTAGAAAATCGTTTGTTCCTAAATTTGTAGACGCTTTTAATGTAGTGCCAGTTGTTGCGAGTGCATGCGTATGCTGGCTTATGTATTTGCTGTTATGCGTGTGTTTGTGTGAGTATGTGTGTGTGTTTGCATGTTTGTATGTATGCGTTCGTACACGTCGGTCAAATTTTAGATTCGATATAACGGTATTTGTCGGTTTTTCCTCTTCTAAGTGATAGAATAGAGATGTTCCATCGGTCGGAAATAGTCGGATGAGCAAGAGGACAGCTATTGTTGTCATTGCGATTTCCATTATTTCAATATTGTTGTTATAATTATTGTTGTTGTTATAATTATTGTTGTTGTTATAATTATTGTTGTTGTTATAATTATTGTTGTTGTTATAATTATTGTTGTTGTTATGATTATTGTTGTTGTTATAATTATTGTTGTTGTTATAATTATAACTAATATTATGTTCAAATTATATTTATTTTATAACGAAATGATTTTTTTTATAAAAATTTCTGCATCATTAATACAATTAATTTATTTTGACGCATCATCAATAAAATAAACGATTTGATGTATAATTTAAAATATAAATATATATATATATTTCAAATATATATATATATATATATATACATACATATTATTATTATTATTTGTACATTTATATAGCGCATTTATATAACCAATTTTTTGAAACTCTAGTTTAATTGTGAATAATAAATCACAAAACAATAGAAGAAACTGAAAATACTTGAAAAGCCAGCACCAACAATTGTGGAGAAAAAGTCAGACGACTATTTATATTGTATGTATGTATGTATGTATGTATGTATGTATGTATGTATGTATGTATGTATGTATGTATGTATGTATGTATGTATGTATGTATGTATGTATGTATGTATGTATGTATGTATGTATGTATGTATGTATGTATGTATGTATGTATGTATGTATGTATGTATGTATGTATGTATGTATGTATGTATGTATGTTAAAACCAAAACATGATGAGTGACACTCAACCGTCAAACATCAAGTAACAAATGGATTAACACTTTGATTTGTCGTTAATTGCACATGTCGGCATTCAGTTGGATATTTTCAAGCACACAGACACGCAGGAACCGCTGCAACAAGCACGAAATGTGGTTGGTTGCAAAAAACAGTTCCCTGCTGTCACCTGATCTGACACTGATCCTTTTGCCTATTTCCTTGAGAAATTTAAGGGTGTTGGGGTCCATCGGGCCGAGAACCTCGATGCATATTGGCAAGAATTCCATCGAGGGGAGGGCATTCCCATATTTTTTCATTTTCTCGTCCGCTGCCCTGGCCGCGGCCAAACCGCATTCTTTACTTGTCAGGTTTACGTATCGTTCGGCGAGGGTGCCAGGGACCGTAACATCCCACGCCAAACATCTGCCGGCTCTCCAAGGTATTAGCGTGCATCCGTCCGGTCGCCTACCATCATGCGCAGAAATGC